CATAAATTAGGGTACCTTTATTTATAATTTACCTCTGAGTTTGATACTGTCACTCTAATTTGGATGATTCAGTTATTCATACACAAACCTCAGTCACTGGATAATTTAGTTTTTATATTTGTAAAAGCATATTGCTCTTTTAAATAACTTGTAATAACCTGTTTTTGTTTGTAGCTAGTTGTGTAACTTGACTGTAGATTTGATATTTTGTTATCTAACACAATGAAATGTAAACATTCTAACTGTGGATTTTTAAAATTCATTTTCTAGCCATTGTAAACGGTCAAACAGGAAAATTTAGAAGTCAAGTCCTGCATCCCTGTATTTTGAACAGCAACTCAAACCTTTGTTTATAAGATTATATGAGCATAAAATGTGTATGTGTGTGTGTGAGAGAGTCAGTGCTTCCATACACACCTCTAATGCACAGACACGACACACACAAACACACACTCCTTTCACAGATGCCCCTGCCGAAGCATCACGATACGTCTCTGCTCTTTTCACTCCCACACTCGTCTCGCTCTCGCCGCAGAAGTCTGAGAAACACTGAATCCTGGGAGATTCAGAATCTTAATGACTTGTCATGTTTGAAAATCTGACACGCTGACACATACTGGCTGTTCAGCTAAAGATGTCGGCGACATCGGTTTTATCTCGCTAGCTGCTCTAGACCACATTCTGCAATTGTCTTCTTTGAGAAGTGCCAATGCTTGCGTATAAATGAACAAAAATGTGCATATTGTGGTGCGGAGATTACATTTCTAATTTACCTTCCTGTCAGCGGCCTTAAATATCAGCCATTGCAGTCATTTTTATCCTACATTCACACACACACATACATACACACTTAGTACCAAGATGAGCCAATGCATCAGTCACAGCGACTCCTCCCACTCCACCTGTCAACCTTCCAGCCTTGCCATCTCTCCATCTCTCTCTCTGTTTCTTTCAGTCTGGGTGCTATATTAGCATATGTACCACTACCTTATAAACTTTTTAAATGGAAAACTGGAGCAAAATTGTGCGTCTTTCCCTTTTTGTATGCATAATTATGCCAATGTATCCGATTCGATACGCCCGTCTGTCTGGCCTGATTTCATGTCATGCTTTTTACATCTCAGGTTTGGTAAAGTGAGATTTCACGTTCTCACGTGTTACTTATTCTGTTTGGCTGTGATGCATCATTAGCACGTGAGGGGAAAGAAGCTATTCTGAGAATGGGAAGAGAGAGAAAAAAGAAGAGAGAGAGAAACTGTGTCCCCAAAGATATCTTGCCTTCCCTGTAGCATAGAGAGAGATGAGCAGAGAATCATGTTTATTTTATAAGGCTCACGCTCTCTCTTTTATGTGTGTGTGTTTGTGTTAGAGAGAGAGAGAGTAACTTTGAAAAGAAGCTGAGCATTTGGAAGGAGAGGAGAGGAGAAGAGGGCAGATGATGTTGTTGGTATCATGGTCCCTGTGGTTTTTTTGGACTGAGGTACTGAAGGCCAAAACGCTCCAACAATGATCTAATCTTTTCCACAAAACACAGCTCAAATTACACTACACACACACACACACACAGAGAGAGAGAGATATGGCAGAGGATGACTCAACATTTATATGAAGTGATGTGAGGAAGAGGGGAACATTTATCTCCAGAACAACTCTTATGAGAAATTCTGAAAGATTCTGTCTTTTTCATTTCCAGATAACTTTCCCACAGAAAAGAAAGATCGCAGATGTGATCTCCTTAATATTTAAATTGATTCAATGGGTTTAAATAGAGAGCAAACTGACATTTTTGCTCGAGTCTTCTGTTGCTTGAATTTTTCTTCTGAGAAATAGTCCGTTAGTAGAGATCTCAATATGAACTCAAGCATGTCTCATCAGATTCTTCTGAGACTAAATTATCTCTATACTTTTACTGTATTAAAGCAATTTGAACAAACTGATTTTAGGAGTAACATCTGTTGATACTACCGTTCAATAGTTTGGGGTCACTGCGATTTTTCGTTTTGACAAAAATTAATAATGTTATTCAGCAGTGATTGATCCAAATTTACAGTAAAGAAATGTATAATGTTACAAAAGATTTACATTTCAAATAAATGATGTTCTGATCTTTCTATTCATCAAAGAATCCTGAAAAATGTATCACAAAAATAAAAAATTAAGCAGCACTACTGATTTCAACATTAATAATAATAAGAAATGTTTCTTGAGCCCCAAATCTACATTTTATAATGATTTCTGAGAGAAAAAACTTCACAAACTTCAAAAAGTTATTTCAAAAAGATATTACTGTTATTTTTGATCAAATAAATGCAGCATAAGAGACTAAAATGTAAACGCAGTATGTATGAAACATAACTGAAAGCTCCTGTTCAGTCTCTTGAGCTATGAACAGACACTGATCGAGCAAAAATGTCCTCTAGATTAATTGCAGAATTCCTTTCCATTTCTAGATACATTCACACTACAGTTTCCTACATTTCCATTTCTCTCTCTCCTGTTGCTCTGTATAGTTTTGATCTTCGGATTTGTATCTCAGAATAACAACTTGAGACTATAGTGAGAAACCCACTTCAAAGAGATATGAAGGCACAAGAGAGAGAAATAGAGGTTCTGTCTGGTCTATGTGTCAATTTATGTCAAAATGATGAGTTTTAATGTCTTATCTTGCATACTTACAAGAAGAAAAACATTTCTTTTGCTGGAGTTGTTTGGGTTGTATATGCCGTGTGCCTGACAGACTCAATTCATTGGACAGTATGGCCAGTGTGCTGATGAATAAACTACTCTATAAATAATAGATGCCCTCTGCTACACTGCTACACTCTGATTACTAAATATATGTATACAGATATCGATTGATTAAAGGTACAATCCAATGGCAATGATATTTGTAAAGACTTAAAAGATGTGCTCCCACTCGCAAATCTGCATTTTGATGGGTAAAGTCAACCCAGATTGTGTGTGCACTTTTCCTAAACGTTTTAACTAATTGTCTGTCCTCAAAAATATAATAACCAGGAATAATCCAACCTAGGTTGGTGTCTAAAAAAATACTGTGGTCTAATGGGTCATTCTTATACCATGTGAAGCAGCTGTTTCTCCAAATAACACACCAGGAAATTATGCAGATTTATTTGACTTATGGATATCTGAAATCGCTCGCTTTTCCTACGTTTCATATTTCACGGAGCAACTGATTATATCAGACAGATTATATGAGACTCCTTTCACTGCTAAAACTGATGCATCACCTGTTTTTTTGTTTTTTATGAAAAACGAAGAGCGTGAGCCATGAAACGCATATAATAATCATATTTTCCAACAGCAGTTTATTCTTTGGTGGCTTCTAGCTCTTTGCAGGGTATTTTGGGTTTGAATGGGCAGAGCAGACAGCAAGATCAGTGATATGCATAAAATGAATACCTCTTTTGTCCAGGATGAAAGATGTTTTTCTTTCTTTCTCAGGTTGGCTCTCGAATAAAAGGATCCAGTCTGTTATAGTGAATCAGACAGCTCTCACAGTCAAGATGGGAAATGCATTGTCTCCTTATCTGTAAATTTGTATGGCATTTTATCTTTCTGTCATCTCCAAAAAGAAGAAAATATTTTTCTTTTGTGTGTGTGTGTGGGATTCAGATTTCTTTGATGTAGGTTTAGAGCTATGAGTCATATAGGTTACACAAGGTTTGTCATCCACACAAATCAAGTAAATGACCACTGAGATTTCACAAAAATTATTTGCCAGCTGTGTTCGCATGATGAATAAAAATTAGTCACTACACACAGTGCCAGGCTACTTGAAACTGTCAATCCATAAACAATTCTCAATTAATTCATGCCATGACAGTTTAGTTGCTATTTTTGCTTGTCTGTTTATTATCTCTGTTATAGTCTTTTAAAAAATTTTTATGAACTCTTTTGCCTTATTTTTAATAGTCTTTTTTTATTAATTACTATTTATATTACATTTACATAATACATTTATGCATTAAATTGCATTCAATATATACAGTATATTTAATCAGTTCATGCTTTCAAACCTTTTTAGATACATTTCCAGACCTCTACATTTTATTACATTTTTAGACATTTTAACGTATTTATATATATAGTACAGCATACAAGTTACAACATATAAATATTTATTGTTTTATACAATTTAATGAATAATAATTAATGATGTGGAGTGCACATTATTCTAAGGAAACATACTTTCATGATGTTCAAAATGTTCTACAGCCTATAACATTTTGTTATAAAAAAATGAAAGGTTCGTTACAACAGTCTCAGATGTTTTATATATATATATATATATATATATATATATATATTATAAACATCTATTGAGGGAAAATCCTAAATGTCCATACTTACTTGGTTTGGTTTATTTTGTAAAATTAACATATTTACCAAAAAAACAAGGTCCCCAAATGCTGCCATTTTGAATCTTTCGTTGAATTTTGTCAACATCCTGATATACTTACCACTGACTCAGAAGAACAAGGAGTTGATGGATCTCTGTCATTATGTCTTTAACTCAGTATATCGATTCCCCCCTCATTATCTTCCATTCCCTCTCCCTGCAGATGTGTGACATCCGCTGCTCGCAGGATGACGAACCTGTTGACTCATTCACCCCTGCTCATTCATAAATGATTCTTGACCAAGAGAATCCAGAAAAACAGACAGGTAGGACTGAGAGAAAAAGAGCCTGAGAGATGCTGTGTGTGTGATTCAGAAGAGGGTTGCAGCACTGCAGCGGTTCCTGTAACGGCACTGGTCAGGCTAAACACACACCCATCCAATCCATCAGCCTTCATTCATCCTTCGCCCATCCTTCCATTCACACAATCAAAGCAGCGGGGAGGGTGGGATGGAGAGAGAGACGCTGCGATGGAGAGAGCATCTGCTTCTGCAGAAAACACAGCGGGGAAGGGGCGGAGGAGGAGGAGGAGAGAGAGTGTATCGTGCCATCGGAGAAGAACGAAGAGCTACAGAGAGAGAGAGAGGGCAGGGAGGAAGGTGCGCTCCTCTCTGATTGCAACACTCTCTCTCTGTCACATTGACAAGGTGTCTGTTCGGCTCCATCTCATTCTGTCTGTCTCTCTCACACACACACACACTCACACAGTGGTGGTGCTGCAGAGACATGCTGTGAAATCCAGCAGCATCATCGGGACAGACTCGCGGCATCAGCGCAGCGCTGATATCATCGGTCAGCAGTGACAATCATAACAACCTGGACCGAGGAGGACGACAACACAGGTACGGCCACAGGCATGCACACACACACACACACATGTGCTTGTCAGGCAACAGATATCACAGATTTGTGCTGTTGTAATTGCTTCAGGCAACACAGAAGAGCTCATAATGGTGTTTTCACCTTCTCGTCCCTCTCAAAGGCATCACGCTGGGGTCCGCAGAGTGTGCGGGCCGGCCAGAGGCCATGAGGCTGGTCCATAATGCAGAGAAACAGTCTTTCTCCTTTAAGAAGTGCGCTGCCTTCCAGTTTGTCAAGAGGAAGGTGAGTTTGTGAGAATGCTGGGTGTAGAACTTCTGTGGCTTGTGGAGACTTAAAAGTGCTGTTCAGTTGGAGACGTGGCCTGGTGGGTAATGCATATGCTCTGACATGTTGCACGGTGGACGAATTTAGTTTGAATCGGGCTCAAGTCATTTCCACAGAAATGTTTTAAGGGTTTAAAAGTATTTTTCTCTATGGAGGAAGTGAAGTATGTATATTTATCTGTGTTTATGTATATGAAATATATGCATGTATGTATGTATTACATTGTAGTTATTTGTAGTTATTACATTGTGGTTATTTGCAATCATTTTTGGATAGGGATACAAAATTCAGAGCAAAATTATGAGCAATATTAAAATTATATAGTATTTTATATAAGTAGGTAAGTAAATAAAAAATGTAAATAAAAAATATTTAAATAAAATAAATATTATTAACATAAAATAAATGTTTATCTAAATAAATAAAAAAATAGATTAAAAAAAATATAAAATGTATAGATAAAATATGTAAAAAATATATATAAAACTAAAATAAAATAAAAAAATCAAATTTTTATTGTTATTTTATTCAATTATTATTGCTTTTAAAGATTAAGTGAGCATTAGATGACAACAAAGGTAATCTAAATGTACAAATAGGGGAAATGAGCATAAACAATTAAATATCCAATATCAATCAATATTTAAAAACCTCTAACATCAGCAGTAGCCAATATGGTTGTGGTATATATACATAATGTGCTGTTTGTGACATGGCTGTGAGATTGACGTCCAGTTGTGAATATGTACATACGTTTTTCAATCTCATTTGACATTAGTGTTGAGACTGTTTATGGATTTCTTTTGTTTGCAATTTAACAAAAACGAAATTGCCATTACAGCTTGATTTGTGACTGTTGTAATGGCCAATCTGAACATGTTTGGAATTATTTATTTAAATATAATGTATTTGTTTAGGTTATAGGCGAGAAAGTGTGTGTGGTTTGGGATTGAGTCCAGACTTCTACATACACACACAGCAGATGGAGTGTCAGAGAGTGACTCAGTGAGATGGTTTTGTTGGATTATTATGTATTTATGTGTACACTGAGACTGAGAGAGAAAGAATCTTCTACAGTGCCAAGGTTGATGTTTGTCTTTTGTAGGTCAGCTTGCAGTGTTGTCTCGTACGTGTGTTGCATTAACTGTGTGTTTTGACTTGTGGGTTTGTTAACTTGCTCTGTGCACTGGGCAACACACACACACACTGATGTTTTTCTCTAGTGACTAAAGTTTGGTGAGTTGCTGAGTGATCAGTAGAGCGTGTATTTGGAGTGGTTTATTGAGTTGCCATTGCTTCAGTGTTTGATTCCTGTAAAGAATGATTCATGTGCCTGACATGCAGATCATAACAATAACACACTGACATGGCTACTGCACAAAAAACGCAGCATGTCAGATGAGATGAGATGAGACAAGATTAATATATAAAATCTTTGAATATTTGCTTTAATTTCTTGTCAGACAAAATATTATTTTTGTTCATTAAAACTGACTAAATGTAATTAATACATGGCAAATTATTGATTAGATTTAACTGAGATTTAATTTTATTATTCGTCTTTTTGTAATATTTAAAATATTGAATATTTCTTTTAAGAAGAGAAGGGTAAGGTCTTTGAAGCTTAAAGCAGCGAGACTCTGAATGCTAGTGTACCACCACAGTGACAACATACGATGACATAACTTTGAAAATCCGATCAAAGAAGAGAGACAGGAAGAGAGCAGTGAATTGTTAGGATCTGTGACTATATGCTGTAACTGTTTATGTATGCGAGACATTGGGAAGCATTGATTTCATTCATTTCAGGATTTTTTTTCTCCATTGTTTCCTTCGTTCTAAAAAAAGACAAAGGTTTGATCATATAGAGCTTTGAGATTGTTTTTTCATCTGGCTGTTTGGCAGCTGTATGAAATGAAGTGAGAAGTGGAAATCTCTCAGCCTGTGCTCGCCGTGAGTTCCAGGATTTCCTGGGGCCTAGAAAATTGCTTTTCACTCAAGGGATTGAAGTCATTAAATACATTGTAAACTACAAAGAAGACATACGACCCTGTGCCCTGCCTCTTTTAGTCAGTCACTGCTGGTGATTTGGAGGATGCCTTTCAGATTTCATTGTTTAGCTTGTAAAGACATACTCGGGTATGGCCCTGAGACGCCTCGTTTAATACAGGAGCAAATGCACCAATCCAAAATTCATATTCACAGATTGCCTTAAACAATTCAAGATGTTTTCACATGATGAAATATTATAATTGTCTACTTTGAAAAACATGGTGTTTGACAACTGGGTTTCACAAGAGCCTTTGTGAAAAAAATACTCCATCCCACATGCAGGAAAATCACAAATAAGATCTCTTTAATATTAAATGGGGTGTAGATTGAAACTTTCACTTATGCAGTGTCACATGTCTCATCTGCAGTATCAGAAGAGATGTTAACGTAACAAAACTGCTCAAATTTGCCAAGACATATATATATATATATATATATTTATTTATTTAATTATTTAATTATTTAATATATAATTTTATGTCATACTATTTTAATACTTTACATTATTTTATCTTGGTACTATTGAGCATTATATATTTATATAAATATAAATAATTTTATTTGACTTTTATTGTATTTTACATTATTTTTTAAAGTCAGGTATTCTAAGATGTTTTCAGACGAATATCAGATGAAAAGCTGATTCTTAAGAGAAATGTTTCTGAGAATGCCATTAAATATCCTGAGCTATAAACGAGCAACATATGAGCATAACACTTTCCTCTGGGATTTCATATCTACACCCAACATACTTATTCTAGATGTTGTTAATACAACACATGGTTTCATAAGCATTTCACGGAAATGTATTACAATCGCCACATGACCAGTGGAATTTGTTTCCTGCACTTAGTGTGTTAGGTTCCTACTCCAGGTCAAGTTAACCACCAACTTACTGGTTACCAACCCTTGAGCCTTGAATCAACTTGCACCACCACTCATTATATAATGCACAGATGTAAAACTCTTTCATGTTTTGCCTCCAGGTGCGCAGGTGGATGAGGAATCCGAAGGTGAATGTGGAGAAGGTGCAGGCTAAGGGCTTCCTGTCTCCATGTCCGAAATGTCAGGAAGGCCAGGACCTGTGGTACACACACTTCCCAGCTCCTTATGGCTGCTGCCACTACAGTCCTGGAGGATACTACCTCCCTCACCCCCCCAGCCCTCTCTGTCAGCCCTGTGCCCCATGCACACCTTGCCAGACAGACAAGAACAAGACATGCAAGGTCATTAACTTTTCCGTCATCTGTTAATTGTTTATTCATGCATATATTCATTCTTCAGGAGTGATTCTAAACTTTCAATCTTAAAATTGCAGTTTTTGTCAATAGACAGTGTCGGATATTTTCGGTGTTTTACTGGAACTTAGACCTTTCGGATAAAAATTGAAGAAACTTTTAGACCAACTAAAAGATGATTCCCAAGAAAACATTAGTTTGAAACATTTTAATGAGAGAAAGGAAAACATACAAAAAGCATTTGAGATATTCTTTAATAAATTGCCAATTTTACTTGGATACATGGCAAAATACCCACTTGAAAAAAAAAAAAAAAACGTCCCTGTGTTCACTTAAATATGACTTTGTGATTAACTAATTTGGGGGTTTTCAAACCAGGGCCCACCAGGGGGTTTTAGACGATCCGTAGAAAATTTGAGAGAAAATAAAAGGATTTTATGAAACAATTGAACAAATGAGCAAAAAAAATGAAAAAAGAAGTGCTATACAAATCAATTTCAATTGAACTCAAACTGTTTCTGTAATATATAAGATATGGAACACCAATATTTTATAAGAAAATATATAAAATACAAAGATTTTATACAATTTTTTAAAAATACAATAAAAAAAGTAAAACAAAGAGCTATAGAAATAGAAATTGAAGAAACTGATGTAATTAACTTTTTGTAGTGACTGGTAAGGATTCAGATTGAAATAACCTCAGATATCAGTTTACAGCAGACATGAAGAGAATCGCAATCATAAACAGGGTCTAATCATTTCTACACCATCCATACTTCAGGACCTACAAAAATGCTCTTAATGTCATTTTTCCCCCCATTTTGCTTGTTTGTTCTGATCCCTTGCGGTGCAGGCTTTTAATCTTTGCATGCCGTAGGGATGCATAAGAGGCTGAGCATGTTGTCTTTCCATTTAGCAATGCTAAACAGCTTCTCAGGGTTGGACTATGGGTTAGCTGAGTTGAGCGCTCTCTTACTTTCTTCCACAGTTGCTCCCCTGACTGCTTGATTGGCTCTCAGAGACAGTGAGTATTAGAGAGATGACACAGAGCTCAGATGGAGTGTGTATCTCAGTCATCCCTGCAGAGAGGGAGAGAGGGAGATCACACATTACAGTATCACTGCTCGCTATATGTGCCCTCAATTTATGTAACAGACAGGCAGTTTGAAATACATTGTATTGTATGTGTTGTTATTTAGGGAAGCATTTGTTTAGCAAACTTTCAGAAATGTGCTGTGGTACTTTAACTGCAGAAGCATATAATTTGATTAATTACACAATGGCATGAAAATTATGAGGTTGGAAGCTAACAGAATGGAAATTAAGAGCTAAAATTAGGCATTGCTCAGTGAGGAATAATGTTAGCTTGCATAAGGTGTCAATTTGAAATTTTAATGTCATACCGATTTCTGTGATTTTATCAAACATGATGGAATGTTTTACAGTCACACAAACCAACTAACATTACAAAACATTACAGAATTACTTCAGTTAAATCAGGAAGTAACAGGCTTTTGTTTGGACATTGCAAAAGACTAATGGAATGTGATGTGAGGACACAGCATAAATCTATAAATTGTGTACCAAATTGACAATTAAAACATTATTTTCAAGGAAAAAAAAATTGTGAAACGTTTTGAACAGAGAAAGGAAAACCTGAAGAAACACCTGAAATGTTAATTCAATTGTATTAATTTTGTTCATTTTACATGGCAAATTCCTTACTTGCACTGAAAATATTTTAAATTTAAAGTTCAATTAATCTGATATTGTGATAAATAAACTAATTCAGGAGTTGCAAGGGGGTTTGAGAGTGTAAGTCGAAAATTTCAGAGAAAATAAAATGGATTTTTATGAAACACAACACAAGCAAAATAAAAAAGTGCTATACAAATAAATTTTAATTTAACTGAAATTGTTTCTGTAATATATAAGATATAGAACACAAATATAATATAACAATTATTTTTAATACAAAGACTTTTTGACACATTTATTGAATATTTTCATATAAATATTTAATACAAAGTAAATAAGTCTAAATTTATATTTTAACAATTTATTGTTTAATAATTTGATTTACTTTTATTTTTTATAATATGACACTTACTATTTTTTTACAGAGCAGATTTTTTAGTAAAGGGGTCCCTTACAAATGTCATATTTAATTTTGAAAACCTCTGAACTAATATGATTTCCATCTTTAGAATTTTAAGTTTATTATTTTATGCAACCTATTAACCTAGCTGTATTATATCTTGCTTTCTCTTATATGTTGGTGTATTTGCAGCACTATAGATAGATAGATAGACAGACAGACAGTGTCGATTACATAACAACGGCTAAACTTGTAGCCGTCTGAGGTTGGTTGAATTTTGTGTTTGATTGATTTGATAACCTCTTGCCTACTTCTCCTCTGCTTTGCCACAAACAGTTCTCAAATAACCAGAGAACTAATGCCTGAGCTGTTTTATTCATGAATTCTGTGTAGGAGCTACAATTGGGCGGCTTGTGTATCAAGGTTAGGTTGGGTTAAACATATATGTGTCCTGACAGAGAGAATTGGAGAAGAGGAAATATTATGGGAGAGTGAAAAAGCGAGAGAGATGACACATCATTTTGTGTCCGGTCGGTCTCGAGGCTGAAGTTATGTAACGTGTTTCAGGGTGCGAATGACGGAATCGCAGGAGCCACAGTGGCATCATGAATGACTGAATTCATTCAGCAACCTGAGAGTAATATCTAATTCTGTTCAGCCTTCATCATCACTGTCAGCTCAGATCTATCGCTACTCAGTCATCCTTTTAATTATTATTCTGCTAAAGCAACAGCTGAGGATTGATTTTATAGTTAAAGTCCTTCCAAATTCGGCCCCAGTAACCCAGGCTTGTGATGGATCTGTATTATGTTTGCTTTATTTTGTTCTGTTGACTCTTTAGAAGGAACATGATCGTGTTTTACAGTAGCTGTTGCCTGGAAGGATTTTTATTTCACGCCCTGTGAAAATATGGAGAGCAGTGGGGCTCCTTCTCGCTCTGCATGTGGCTTTGTGTGCTTGTTTGTATTTGTGTGTGTTTGTGGAATTAATGTGGCAGAAAGATGCGAGGAGTGGGGGGTTGCGCCGATGACTCATCGCTCATGAGGTCTGCGGATCACACAAACGCACACACGCAGAGCCAGTTTTTATAGTGCCAGGTTTCGCCGGGTTGAAATGAGCATAAAGTTTGATTGACCACATTGCGCTGGCCTTCGGTACTTCGGTGAGCCTGTGATGAGATCGTATGTGATTTATTTGGAGGATCTGCTGAATAATTATTGTATGAAGCAGATTGTTCCCGTCGTGATGATTATATTAACTGTCTGATTGCTTATGACTGATTAAACTCTTCAATGTAGAGGGTTTAAAGTGGTCAACTGACAAAATTAGACATTTTTAATATCTAATTTGTTTCTTTTAGACAGTAATATAATCAGAAACTTTTGTTAAAAGGAAGAGTTTGTGCAAAAATGTAAATACTCACCCTCCTCATGTCGTTCCAAACCTCTATGAATTTCTTTCTTCTGTTGAAAAACAATAATACATTTTTAAGAATGTTTCAACTGTTTTTGTCCATACAGTGAAAGTCGGTGGTGTCCAAAACAACACCACATTGACATTCATTGTATCGACAAAAAAAAAAAAAGACCACCAACACATTTCTCAAAATATCTTCTTTTGCGTTCTGCAAAACAAAGAATGCCATAGGGTAAAAAATGACATGTGATCCTGTTAAATTCTCAATTGCCTCTCCTAGATGGCAATGGGATTAAATGGAGCACAAATAGAAACTTGCACAAGTCTCCGTTTTAGATTTATCCCCTGAGAAAGGGACATACTGTATGTCTCCTCTAAATGTCAGATTCTATCTGAAGTAAAAATGAACTCTCCCAAAACTTAGTGATCTGACATATGCTAATTTTATTGCTTTATTCTCTTCTATTTCTATTTTACCTCAGGAGAAACATCTGAGACAACAATAATACAATAAAACAAATGTCTCCTGAGCCATGAAAGAGCAACGTTTGCGCTATAAAATGTTCCCCTGGGCAAACACAACCACAAAAACACACACTTCTGCCATCATCTGTCCACAATCCAGAGCATGTGTCATTAGTTCTCGTAAATTCAAAGCTGTTTTGATGTCAGTGACTGGAATTCCAGAGCTTTGAATGGTCGCATAAACAAACGGATCCTAACCCTGCTGAGATGCTGTGGACTTTGTTAGTGTGATTTTAGAATCACTGAGATTCTGTTGTAGTTTTTTAATTATTTAGAATGATTTTTTTTTTCTTTTTAATTTTAGTTAAAGTTTTATGTTTTTTTTTAATGTTTTTGACATTTTAATTAGTTTTTTTTATTACAAATATTTTAATACAGTTTTTTAATTATTTAGAATGATTTTTTTTTTCTTTTTAATTTTAGTTAAAGTTTTATGTTTTTTTTTATGTTTTTGACATTTTAATTAGTTTTTTTTATTACAAATATTTTAATAAAAAATTTGATTTTTACTTAAATATATCTATAGTTTTTAGTCAATTTTATTTCAGTTATTTTAGTATGTCAAGTTAAACTAAATGAAAATGAGAACTGCTTTGGCAACTAGCTGAAATAAAATAAGTTTTACACTTTTTATGTTTTATTTCAGTTAACATTCATTTGAAGTAACAGTTTTAATGGTTTTAGTTAACTATAATAACTCTGGTTGGTTATTATTATAATAACTCTGACTTTTTCAGTACAAAACAGCATTTGTGTTGTATAAGGCATCAGGATTATACAATAATGGCTTCTGGACTGACAGCCAATTAGCAAAGTACTATTTTTATCTGTTTGTTCACGCGTCTCGTCTCTGGCATTATAACCCTTTGTCCCCTATGAATCTCTAGTTGGGGTTAATGAGGCTAATGGTTACTAGGTTTCAGGGAAAAACACGCCACACAGAAGTGCTGTCACCAGAGCCCTTAAAATGGCAACATCAGCGTCATTTCCAGTCAGAGCTCCTGCTCTGGTTCAGGTGATTCTTTATCTCTGTTTTGGGCCCCTTGTCTTTCGCCCGGCCCTTAACTATGCTGTTGCATGCAAACTCTGGTGCTGTGCCAGTCGAGGGTGGCTCCGAGCCAAATTCCCTCTCACCTTCTAAGTGTGGGCCAGCAGTGTCAGCTGGGTAGAAGTTCTTCTAAGGAAGTTCATGACTTTATATATTTTCCGCTATCGTGTTGAAGGGGCGATTATATTTAGAGAGCTTTGTACTGGTGCAGAAAAGGCCTGAATCATTTTGTAATCTTTCCTGAATCGTTCCGCAATCCTCCTACAAAGAAGCACAGCGGGCTAGATTTTAGGAGGGAAGTAATGCTTATTCTGTGGGAATGGAATACTTTCCCGGTTCAGAGCAGATTTAATTATGCTTACAGGATTTAGTGTGTAGGGCTTTACTTCACTATTCTTCAGGGGCAAAAATGACCACTGTATTGAGCTAAACCTTTCAAAGGTAAAACTGATTCACAATTAAAATGTTTTTTCTTTTTTCTTTTAATTGCAGGGTTTGTCTGCATTCATTAAAATAGCGTAACGTGAAAACAGCTTAGCTTTATGGTATGTCATGATTTAGATAACTTGGGTTGGATAGACAAGAACACTAAAACACTAAAGCGCTCAAAAAATATTTTTAGCCTTTATAGAAATTATAACTACATAGTTATGTAGTTAATTATTAACTACAATAAAATGTAGTTGACACATGACGTGTTCATGATTGTTGTTTTTTTTTATTAACATCACAATGTCAAGTTAAATTTTGTATTAATAAGGGTGTAAATCTTAGGTGCTGGGATTGGTCACAATTTCTCTTTTCCACAGTTTTTAATCATGTTTAGCCTCTGAGAGTTCATTTGAAGTGGTCCTGTGGTGTGACAAATTAATTTCTCTTATGGGCATGAAATTTCTCTTATTAAAAACTCTTATGGGCATGAAAAACTGCATTCTAAAAATGTTATATAGAATAGATTTAGTTTGATGTATACACTTAAATATGATGTATTTTAATGTAATATATTGTATAAAATATGTACACAACTGTTTAAAAGTTAAGTATCAGTAATTTTACTCAGCAAAGATGCATTAAATTGATCACGTGTCAGTAAAGGCTCATACATTAAAAAAAAAATCTAATAACTGCTGTTCTTCTTTAAATTCATCAAAGAGTCATGAAAAAGAAAAATGTATCCACAAAAATATTAAGCAGAACCAATGTTTTCAACATTGAAAATAATAAAAATCATGCAAGATCAAAACTGGCATAATGGCTCCTGAAAATTCTGTTTTTCCTTCACAGAAATCAATTTTAAAATATATTTAAAAACATGTAAAAAATATTAAGATAACATTTAAAGGGGATATTTTAAATTGTAGTAATATTTTACAATATTACTGTTTTTACTGTAATTAAAGTGTGTAATCTTTAAATTGTGCACATATTATGAATTCAGAATAAATGTTAAGTATTTTAGTAAAATGTATTAAAAGTGTGAACTATGAAGTATGAAAAATATGAAACTAAAATTGTTGAAAATATGGCAAATGGCAAAGCAACTACATTTACTTTGGTATTATTTGAAAATATTTGATGCTAAGTACAGATAAACATGTTTATTTTTTTAATATAATTAATACTTTTGCTAGGAACATTTTATACATCACAGGACATCTGTGCAGGACAGGCTAAGGAAATGGGATTTTCAGTAGCGTTTGTTCCCAGCTGGGTTTCGTGATGGGATGCAGAGGGAGGAAGCCTTTTGGGAATTCCACATAGGCCAATCCCATACAAGAGTTTGGGTCTAATCTCCTCAAACATAGTTATAGTGTGCGATTTAACCTCCCTGGCTACACACATAAACAGACACAAACACAGCCCAGGGCTTCGGAAATATAATGACTTTGTATTGACTAGAAAATCTCTGCCTGGTAAATACTGTCAGAGAGATTTTAGATTACAATAGCAGTGCAAAACCTTGCATGCGAAATGCCAACTCACACACTGTTTGGAGGACAGGGGAGGGAAGAGCTGCTGATTAACCATGTTTTTATCTTAACATTTTCCTGTAAGTGCACTTACATAATCGGCAGCTTTTGATGTTGAAATATTTGGGCCAGGCTGAGTGTGTGCACAAGACTAGGCCCTTAAGAAAGGCTAGTTACAGTTCCAAGATCACCTTTCCCTGGAATCTGTGCTTCATTCTTGGCATCAAAGGCTAAAGAGCAAAGTGTGTGTGTCAGTGTGTGTCCTTCTGATTATTGTGGATTATAGAATAAGCTTGAGTTGCTGCTGTGACGTCTTTCACTGACCCTTGAGCTTTTATCAGCACAATTACACAGACACACACACTTCATTTTGTCTTTGAGTCAAATTTAGATCTAGTCCTATGGCCTTTAGGGGAAAATTTGCTAAACAGACACTTTTGAATAGGTATTTTTTAAATCCAAAAATAGGTATTTTATCCTGTGAATCAGGTGCTAAACCAATGCAGTCAGCTCATGCAAATGAACTATTAGCTATTAGCGTTATATATTCTTAGTGAATTTCACCCCTAAAACCTTGATTTGAGATGATTTATGTCTCGATTTACTTGATTATTTATTTACTGAAATAAGCGCATGACAAGAGTTGCAGCATTGATGACAAAATGCTTCTATTTATACTTTACTGTGCCACTTATTGTGCTGTTTTTGCGCATCATGCTTACTCATGGGGTATTGTGACGTAGTGGTTAAAGTCTGAGCTGGTAACTAAACTTTTTATTTTAACCTTGCAATAGTGAATCCATGATCTATTGTCATTATAGCCTTGAACAAGATTGAGATTACTTCAGAGAGATTGTTCCTTTGCTAAGTGTACTCTGAGTCACTTTTTGGTAAAAACATGAGCTAAATTAGGGGATTCACAGACAATTTCTGCAATATATACATACATACATCTGCAATATTACTATTAATGCACATGCAGAATAATTGCACATGTTGAAAGTAGAAGTAATTAATTAAGAGTCATAAATTTCAAATACTTTGATTTATTCACAGCCATGTAAAAATGCAGAAAATACACTGTTCGAAAGTTTAGGATCGGTAAGATCTGATATATATATTGAAACATGTCTCATATGCTCACCAAAACTACATTTATTTGATGAAAAATACAGTAAAAATACTAATATTGTGAACAGCAGAAACAACAGTTTTCTATGTTTATATAATGTAATGTATTTTATTCCTGTGATGGCAAAGCTGTATTTTTCAGCATCGTTACTCCAGTCTTCAGTGTCACATGATCCCTCAGAAATCATTCTAAAAAATTATGATTTGCTGCTCAAGAAACATTTCTTATTATTGGTGTTGAAATAGTTCGGTGAAAACGGTGCTGCTTGATATATTTGTGAGGAAACCAATAATGATGATTGAAGTTGAAGTTCATGAGTTCATTTTTTTTTTAATATATCAAATGTAAAGGTTTTTACTGTCACTTTTGATCAGTCTCTTATGCATATTTTTTGAATAAAAAGTATTCATTTTCTGTAATATTTGAAAAAAAACTTACTGAACCTAACCTTGAACAGACTTGAACAGCAACATATAATCATTTCTTTTGGCTTCAGTGCAATAACAATATAACGCAAAATATATATAAACAAGTAATGTTGCCTTTATAGTTTAATGCTATTTTTCTCACACAATATACACAGGTCTTAGATATAGAATTTAAGAAGTGTGTTCCTTGCAAGGGGATATATTTTTATTATATTTAAGGGTCCTTGTCATTGAAAAGTTTGGAATCCTCTCAAATAAATTACTTATTACTAGGCCATGTCAGTGCAATAGCTTACCTCATTTGTGTTTTTTCAAAAGGTGAGAAAATGGAAGATGCTCAGTCGACATCACAATGATAGTAAGGTGAAGGAGGCCGAATCAGAGGGTCATGTGATCTGCCCCTGGACGATGTCACCACTGCTGGGAAGCCCCGTACTGCTGGAATGTTGCATCTGCAACGGACCTTTCATCACTTACGGGCATGAGGAGGCATGGCAACCACGTCAGCGCACACAGGTCAGCACACAAACAAATGTCTCATGTATCATTGCATTAGATAACAAAATATACCATACAATTACAGCACAAAGTGCAATATTTCACAAAAACAAGTTACTAATGCTTTCTGGTTGTCAAACATAGAAAACACATTTCTGGAAGCATTGTTTGTTGAATTTTGAGCTCATTTCCCATTCTTCTTCATTCTTTGTTGCCTGAACTTAATTTTAGCCACTTAGCTGTTTACACAAGATAAAAGAGCAGTGAGACACATGGGATGGGAAAGATTAGCATAGGTGCATTAGCGTAGGTGCACGTGCAAAGATGCCGGCTCTCCAGGGAGAGGTTATTAAAGAAGTGGATTTGGGAAATTGCTCATTCTGTCTTTCTCTCTCCCAAGCTGTCGCTCATTCGCTCTCACTCACTTCATACAGAAAGCTTGCAGCTTGGGTGCAAAACTGCAAGCCAGATGTCACATGATTTCATTTTTTGCAAGCAGTAGATTAAGATAGTAGATTTCATCCATCTGAAAGTCCTAATTTCACTGATGAGTGTGCATGCGTGATAAAACTGTTTGAAAATCTTCCATGTGACTAATCTAAAGCACATTATTAATAAACCAAAGTCCTAATTCTAATATTCAGTGTTATAATATTCAAGGAAGAAGACCTCTTGTGTATAGGTCAAAAGAGACATGTGGTACGAAGAGAACAAAAGAGTGTTTTCATTGAAGACACATTGCACTGACCTACATTACTTCTTTTTTTTCCCAGGCAATGGACCTTTACTACCATGGACACCCTGACTCTGATTATTGCTGTCCATCTGACACCAGTAGGTTCTGTCTTTATTTCTCCACCAGTCTTTTCTTTCATTCATTGCCTTATTTCCGTACTTTCTCCCTCTCTTTTGTATATCTTTTCTCATTCATTCACCTTTATAACTCTTTCAGGATCTTTCTCCTTTTGTGTCGTTGCACTTCCTTCCCTTTCTTTTTGAGTTGTTTTGTTTCTTCTCCCTGCTTTTCTCTCTTGCTTGTATAAGCATAACCCATAATCACCTTGATCCTTGTAGGCTTAGAGTTGAACCTTTAATAACAATGTTTAGGCAAGTGCTCAAAACAGCACTTCTGTGAATAAATCACTCCTACACTATTCAATTACAAGCACCCAATGCCACCCAATAATGGTAGAAACACACCACACACATTTATCAAGTGCTTCTTAACATGCATTGTATGTGCTAAACTACCCCTGACACTGATAGCGAATTATGATTTTGTGTGTATGGGTGATTTTTTTTTTTTACTACAGGAATTTTTCTTTTCCCTAAAGGATGATTTTAAAGAAAACAAAATCATTTTAGTTTTAAAGGATAGAACATAATTTGCCATGATTTCTCTATTTTGGGCTTGTTTAACTTTTCTCATCAAGGAATTTATAAAAAACTCAAAAGTTTGGGGTCAGTTTAATTTTTTTATTTGAAATAAATGCTGTTCTTATGAACTTTCTATTTATCAGGAATCAATCACAGAAGTAAATTACATTTTAAAATATATTAAAATAGAAAAAAGTTATTTTAAATTGTAATAATATTTCACAGTGTTGCTGTTTTACTGTATTTGTATCAAATAAATGCATCCTTGGTGAGAAAATAAGAAAAAAAAAGTTTCTGTTTGGTTATAATGTAGATGAGAAGTGACAAGGGAGCTGTTATTTTTCATGATTTCAAGACCAAACAGCCCATAATTAATGACTCATTCATAAATGGTCTGTTGCTGATGCTGTAGATAGAAGATTTCTACAAATTCCTTCGCAATGACATGGCTGTATATTACCAGTCTTTTAAAGGTTAGGGTGATAAGCTTATCTGAAAAAGGGCAAATGCAAAAATACTTTTATCTTATTTCTGTGGAAAGTTTTTTTTTCTTTTTGTCCTGTAACTTAAAAGGGTTAGTTCACCCAAAAATGAAAATTAGCCCATAAATTACTCACCCTCAAGTCATCCTAGGTGTATATGACTTTCTTCTTTCAGACGAATCCAGTCGGAGTTATATTAAAAATCGTCTTTGATCTTTCAAGCTGTTTCATGGCACTCAGCGGGTGTTGCATGCTTCAGTCCAAAAGAAGTTAAATAAAAAGCGCCCATCCATGAAAAAAAAGTGTCTCACACGGCTCCGGGGGGTGAACAAAGGCCTTCTGTAGCGAATCAATGTGTTTTTGTAAGAAAAATATCCATATTCAAAACGTAATAATCACTTTAATGTAGCTTGCGCTCACTGTTGTAAAGGGAAGCAGTTCCGGGCGGATGACATATGGAGGTCGGCTTTGCGCATGCGCCGGTAATTCTCGTGAAAACCTGCTGAGTGGCATGAAACAGCTTGAAAGATCAAAGACAATTTTTTATATAACTCCGATTGGATTCGTCTGAAAGAAGAAAGTCATATACACCTAGGATGACTTGAGGGTGAGTAATTTATGGGCTAATTTTCATTTTTGGGTGAACTAACCCTTTAACACTCAATCCAAGACAGGTACAGAGAGGACAGGGTCCTGAGGAGTCAGAGTCTCTTGGGACTGGTCAGCTGGATAAAATGTGCTTTCCCATTTAACGAAAAATGCCAAAATATAGAGCACTCTGGAGATGAGGGAATTTGCAATCACTGACATTTAGCTGTCTCATAATTGAGTAATGTAGTACAATCACTATGAAGGCACAAGAATCTGTACCTACAGTAGCTGCATCTTTAATATATTTGTTTGTGTTCATATTACATTACTCATAGTCTAAATTTGTCTAAATTATCTCATAAGCTCCAGAGTTTCTCTTGACAGAGTCACTGCAGGTGTGTTTGTGTGCGCACATATTTGTATGCATTCATGTGAATGTGTGAAGGAAATTGCATAATGCTCTTGAAACCAGAGTATGATCCAAGATCACATTAGTATGCATAATGTTTGGGTCCTGTATTGAGTGCTTAGCTGCATTTAAATACGATTTTACGTAATCCCCATCTTCCTACATAAATAAACAAAGTGTTTATAAACACTTAGGACTGAAGCCCCGTTGATCTCTCTGTCTCTCTATCCTCTCCTAGACCTCTATTTCACTTCCTATTTACACAAAAAATTAGAGACTGAAAAGACCAGAATCTGGATGATATGATGAGCACAAGGAGACAATGGGAAGAGAATCTAAATTAGGAGTATTGAACTGAGAACTTAGTTGAAAAGTTTCAAAACATTTCGTAAAACTGTTGTGAAATATAGAGAACCGCAAGGAGTGTAATGTATGACAGCGACGACATACTAAAACACACAGGAAAGTTGTTAGAATTTGTTCGAATTTTTTACAATTATCCAATCGGCCAAAACAATGTTTTGATATTTTTACATTTATGTTTACAATTTAGCTATGAATTGTGGTTATTATTTTATTATATTACATTAAACCTGTATTATAATATAATATAATATAATATAATAATAATTTTATGTTTGAGTATTTTATATGTAATCAATTTCATGCTTTGCTAAATTATAATTAAATAAACAACAAAATATATTTTGGCCAAAACAGTGCTTTATATTTTAAAGGGGTGATCTTGTCTATGCACAATCAGCTTGTAACACTCCAAAGAGAAAGGAAAACTTGAAATCACGTCATAGGACCCCTTTAAATATTTTTTATGTTTAAAATATATATTACATTATACTATATTAAAACTATTGTAATATAATAATCATTTTTGTAATAATTTCCAACTAGTAATAATCATAGTTTCCGTTATGACTTACCTCATACAGTGTGAAACTTGCCCCAGTCTTAAGATTGTGTGTTTGAGTAGTTTGTGTGTGATCATTTTCATGCTTTACTGTAATTAGTGTTGGAGAGGTGTGGATAATTATAGGAGGTGTTTGCTTTATCTAACTTATATTAATTAGAACATAAAGAATACAAAACTTTTATGCAAAAAAAAAAAAGAGAAAAAGTTGTAGGACTCAATATCCGCATTAAAAGTCTCTTTATCGGTCTCAATCGAGTTGCACTCGCCAATGATGCCCAAAAACTGGAGAACTGTGTTCAGGTAGAGTTTTCATTTAGCTTCAGCTTCTCATGAAAACAGTGCAGCACATTGTTGGAGGGCTGGAGAGACTCCGCCCCGCAGATATCCGGTGTCAGATCAGCCCTGATGGAATGCGGCGGATTGAGAAAATTCTTTCACCTCCAAACTTTCTCATCAAGCGTGTCTGCGGCACTTTACGCTCTTTCCTGACCCTATGAAAGACAAAACTTCTCCGCTGTCATGTAAGTTGAATCCCGCCGAATTTATCGCGGAAAAATTGTGTTATGGAACTGTTTTTATTTAAATGACGTCCCACTGGAGGTGTCCGCTTATAATTAGGGTGTACTGGAGACATCTGTAGGTGTGTTACCGTAGGGGCAGTGACCCGGTTTTAACACCTTACTCATATCTATATTGATTTAGTCTGATAAAGGCACTTGGCTCTGCCTTTGCCAAACATAAGGAACGTTAGTCAGTCTTGGCTCTCATAAGAGACTTGTCAGGATTTACAGCACAATGAGAACTTCAGCGGAACTTAAAGGTTTGTACTTTTCTCAAAAACCCATTAATCATAATAAACCAGTGATATGTATAAAGTTTATATAGCGGTTTATTTAAACATCTGGAAGGGGCGTTCAACCTTTTTCTACGTTAAAATTGTTATTTAACAGTATAACTCATTGTAATGTACAAACATGTATTACTTACATGTTTGAGCAACATGTAAGCAGAACCAAAAAAGAAAAAATACGTATTAAGTGCATGTTGTTTATTGTAGTCTTCATGTTGTATTATTTAATGCTTTCCATGCACTGCATCATGAACAATGTGAAACAACTTTTTGGGATGTATGCATGATATATATTTACTCAGTGTTGTTCGGTTACTGGAACTAATTTATTCTACTAATACTAGCGTGAGAACAGCTGATGACTTCAATGTGTTTTGTTGTAAAGCTCTACAGTGCTGGGTTAAGTGCCACGATCTACTGTATAAAAACTATGCTGCAAAATGAGATACATTGTAATTACAAGCATTACATCTTAAACTAAGCGGTTAACGTCAAAATGGTTTTTGCCACAACCCAACCATTTATGAGTTTAAATCTTTTTGAGGCTTAGGTTCTGAGCTTTTATTATAATTTAATGAGTTGAATGAGTAACTTTAAATGACGTTATAGTCTGCTGGGGTATAGAGTTGCATAACTGTGGAAAACTAGGACATTTCATGATCTAATGTAAATTTCCTGATACGGGCTCTAAATGACAGAAGGGAAGAAAGCAGAAGAAGAATGCTTGAATTTTCCTAGAAGCAATTAATTCTGTGAAGTTTGATTCATTTCCGCGAATCGGTTCTTTCGAACAGTTCGTTTCGAACACCAGTTCAAAAACAGATTCGGCTTATTTTACGTCATGATATTTTTACACCCTGACATCGCGGTGTGGAAATGTACTTAAAATTCTTAATGTGTATCCGCATATTTAACGTTTACTGCATTTTAATAACGTTATTCTTTCAGTGAGTTAGTTGTGAGTAGACTCGATAACGGCTCCGACTGACTCGTTCGGACTGTTTAGTGAACAAGTTCAACCGATTCATTAAAAAGACCCCACACAAAAGAACGGGTTATTCACCGTTAATCCAGTCAGTACTTTTCCAGTGAGTGCTGAAGTTTGGCTCGAGTCCCTTTGCTTTTGTCTCATTCATGCGTCATCTGTCACGACGGTTAAAATGGGGCTTTGAGAAAAAAAGTGAGGTAAAGCCTGAAAGAGCTGTGCACACGTGGATAGCAGTTGTTTTGGGAGGTCTTTTGAACAGGTGTGATGAATCAACCGAATCTTTTCTGCTTTATCTTTACACTTGTACACTTACATACTGAATACATTGTTTACTCTTGCGATAAAGTAGCAATGAGAATGTGTAGCAAGACTGTTTATGACTGTATTCTAAGGCCGGCAGGTTTGTTTATAAAAGAGAAATACAGTGACTCAATTTTGAATCCTTTTGACGTTCCTGTCAACAGAACATGTAGTCCTGCTCAGCTTGTTAGATCCGGGAAGATCTTGTTTTCAACTGTATGTAACATAACATCAGATTTTGCGGCGTTACGTTCTCGTTCACTCACAGCTGGCCCCTCATAGACGTCACAGCTGACTCCGCTAGAACCTACGCCAGGCCACGCCCTCGCATACAGAGACTTGCGTCAGGACACGCCTCCTCTCTAAGAACGCACGCCAAGCCACGCCTCTTAGCGGAACGCAATTTCTAGCCTCCTCCCCCTGCCTTTTAAATAGTTGGAACAGTAGTGTAGGAGTTCAGTAGCGCTTTGTGTCGTTTTGGTTGCGGGCACGGAGTGGAAAACTACAGCAATGACAATCCAAACGGAGACGGGCGTCCCAGCTCCAGACTTGACCTACTCTAAAACAAGAGGACTAGTAGCTAATCTCAGTGGTAGGCTTTGTTTTTCAGATGAATGGAATCTCCTGAGCCAACTTTAGCACAGAATGGGAAGAATATTAAGTGATCTAGCTTTTTAATGGACTTTTCTCTCTCTCTCTCTTTGCTTTTTCTTTTATGTGCAGCCTTTATGAAACAGAGAAAGATGGGACTGAATGACTTTATCCAGAAGCTTTCCACAAACTCTTATGCATGCAAGCAGTAAGTTTATTTTATGCAAATCTGTAAAGAAAATGTAAATGTTTACATATTTATTTAAAATATACATTCATGTATAAAGAAATTGTATGTATTTACAAGCTTATTACAAATATGTGTTTATTTACAAAATAGAACATGTATAAAAACAATTTTTATTGACTTTTTTGACATTTTATTGTTGTTCAAATTATTGCAGTAATATAAAATTACAACTATAATAATATAACTATAATTATAACTACTCATATTCAGACATTTCTCTTTGTTTGCTAAGTTGTCATGCTAAACCATGCATCTGATCATCAGTGGTCTTTTCTTCCTGCAGTCCTGAGGTTCAGTCCATCTTGAACTTGACACCTCCACAAGATGCTGAGCTGATGAACAGCAACCCTTCCCCACCGGTAAATCTGCGTTTATTTATGTCACGAAAGCATGTGTGTGTATATGCACCATGCATCTTTCTACAAAACAATATGTGAATCATATTTGCCTAATCATCTTTCTCTCCTCTCCAGCCAAGTCCTTCTCAGCAGATAAACCTCGGCCCTTCCTCCAACCCCACTGCCAAACCGTCAGACTTCGACTTCCTCAAGGTCATCGGAAAAGGCAGCTTTGGAAAGGTTCTTCTGGCCCGCCACCGGAGCGATGAGAAGTTCTATGCAGTCAAGGTGCTGCAAAAGAAAGCCATCTTGAAGAAAAAAGAGGTATGGAATTCACTCCTTAGTGTCAGCTGCTTTGGGCTTTGGAGAATGCATGTGTTTAAAAACAACACGGTAGTTCTAGATGGTTGGTTGACCTCTTATCATGACCTCTGACCTCAGGAGAAACACATCATGTCTGAGCGCAACGTGTTACTGAAGAATGTCAAGCATCCTTTCTTGGTGGGCCTGCATTACTCCTTTCAGACTGCTGATAAACTCTACTTTGTACTGGACTACATCAATGGCGGAGAGGTGCGTTATTTCATTTGCCTTTTTTTAAAGCTACACACTGTAGGGAGTAAAACAATATTTACAAAAGAGAAAATAAAATAGTCAAAGATGTTGGAGACAGTGAGGTAGATGCAGACAGAAAAGGGATATCCTGTCATGAGAAGCAAAGAGGAGCGGCTGGGCTCTGAATAGGAAACTCTCCTCCGGAAATGGCTGGGAGGGGAAAGTGTGTGAGGTAGGGGAGCCAGATTTAGCAGCTATGATGGTTTAGACTCGGTCTAACTCAACAGACGTCTCTGAGGGGCTGCGGGGGGGGGGTACGTTCTCATTTCCTGCCATTGTTCGGGATTTTGGAGTCTAGAAAGCCTTGATTAAGTATGCCATTCAGGATATGGAATTCACAGCCTAATCTGGCTCCTCTCTCTCTGTGTCTTTCCATAGCTGTTTTATCATTTGCAACGGGAGCGATGCTTTCTGGAGCCACGTGCACGGTTCTATGCAGCCGAGATCGCAAGCGCCTTGGGGTACCTGCACTCACTGAACATAGTGTACCGAGACTTGAAGCCTGAGAACATTCTCTTGGATTCTCAAGGACACATCATCCTGACCGACTTCGGCCTGTGCAAAGAGAACATAGAACCCAATGGAACAACATCAACTTTCTGTGGAACACCAGAGGTAAATAACATTCACTTTTAAGCGGTTGCTTTCAAACAATGCAACTGCATTTGCAGTCTGTAAGCTAACTCATCTTGATGTTTCGCCTTCTGTCTTGCAGTATTTGGCACCGGAGGTGTTACACAAGCAGCCGTATGACCGGACGGTGGACTGGTGGTGTTTGGGAGCAGTGCTGTATGAAATGTTATATGGCCTGGTGAGTTATTCCAGAAAAAAAATTTGATTTCATGTCTTTAATTGAATGTATTTAACTCATTAGTTTAATTGAATTGGAATTGCCTTGAGTACTTGGCTTTTTACATGATTGCTGATTGTCTTCTCTCCCATAAACTGGGATGATCTAAATGCCAAGAAGCTCACGCCGCCCTTCAACCCCAACGTGGTACGTTCCACTTCTGCATTGACTTTGCGTTATTATTACCACTTAGCACTGGGTGTTATAGATAAATGGACCTAGTTATTCTGGCTGATTTGTGATAAGAGAATGCAGAGAATCCTGCTATGCAAATATTCTCAGCATCTTATCAATGAATTATAATTTTGATGTGTTTTTGTTTCAGACAGGGCCTAATGACTTACGGCACTTCGACCCTGAGTTCACCGATGAGCCGGTGCCGAATTCAATCGGCTGCTCCCCGGACAGCGCTTTAGTCACAGCCAGCATCACAGAGGCGGCCGAGGCTTTCCTAGGCTTCTCTTACGCCCCTGCCATGGATTCCTACCTGTAGCCCATTGACGCAGAAATGCCATCCCATAGATTCTTACCTGTAGCTCATTACCATGGAAACGCTGTCCCATGGAATCACACCTGTAGTGCATCACTATGAGAAAAGCAAACCCTGTCTCATTTCCCTGCCTCCAGATAGGGGGCATTTGCACATGGCGTACGGCAGCTCAAAAGGCCTTTGTTAAAAGGCCTGAGTTTTACACATAAAAAAAAAGACTTGTCATCTTCATCAACTGCATCCAAATGCACGATTTCTCCTCCGCTTTCACCCCGGGTTGTGTCAGAGAGACAGATGGGGAAACAGAGAGAGAGAAGATTGATGCTGATGGACGATTGTTATGTACTTTTCCTTTCTTGAGATTTATTTCCAGCTTATTTACTTTTATAGGATTGTCAGTGCTAGACTTCATTGTTTTGGATGGATTGGATGTGTGTGTGCGTGTGTGTACTTCGTTTTAACACCCCTTCACACATGTTTGTTTAATCTAAATCATGTGATCTGGCACATCAGTCTGTGTCGGATATAAATACAGTCAACGTGACGCTAAAACCACTAAAATATGTCAGCATCTGATGTTTTTGTGATCTTTCAGTTGCGCATCTGGGATCAAGTTGCACATTTATCTTCCTAATTTAAAGAGCACTTCCTTTTTTTTGTTTTTCTTGTTCTTTTGACTCAAGCGGAAGGTGCTAGAAGGATGTGCTGCTAATGTGTGTAGATACGCACTTGGACCAAGGAATCAGACGCCTCTGTTTTACCTTAGTCTTCCAGCCTCCTAGGATGTACAGTAATTGTACAGCTCAGAAATGGGCCAGTTTGTCTGAACATCACATTCCATGGAATATGACTGTATGGTTATTTAAGTTTGTTTGTATATTTTAAGGTCTATGTATTAGTTTTAATGTATATGGAACAAAAACTTAAGGTATGCTTATATGTAACTATAAATGTACTGTAAAATTGTAAAATGTTTGAATCATGTGACCTTGTTTGGTTCGCAATAAAACTTTATGGTTATTTTTCCCCAAAACAACTTTAGCATGTTTTTTTTTTTTTCTGTAGATGAAACTAAATCATTGGTTCATATAATGTAACAAACATCATTTAAGAAACGGACAAACATCACACGCCATGAAACAACGCATCAGTCTCCTCAGCTGGCCAAAGGTTGCTTTTAGTTCATTGTGCGTCATTTTACTTTCCCAACCCAGTGCTCACGCCATCCCTGCACATTGAACCCCATCTTTAACCAGCCATAATTTTAATTTCTCTGGCAGCTGTCAATGTTTGTATGTATTAACTGCAGCTCCTAGAACTGCTTTTCTGAGACCCGGCGTAATGGTCTGAGCAAGTTCACTAGAAACGCTGCACTTGAGGCCTTAAACTAGGTCACTCATCAGTGAAATTACTAGTAATTTAAGTAACCTGAGTAAACCTGAGCATTGCTTTTACGAGATTTCAGAGACATGCTATGCAGGATACACGGAATTACAAACTGTAAAGATACTTTGGCTCTTAACAGGCCAACATGGTCTGATAAAAGGTATCTAAATATAACACTCATCAATAACCTGCAGATATGTGATGTGGTGTCATAAAATCTCACAATTTAAATATGTTGATGTTTTATAAGGGACCATGCTGCATTGCAATAAAAACAGTGTTCATAAATAGAACGGAGTGAGTTACAAGATATCTTATCCACTAGCGCCCCCACAATGTTGCTTTTGAAACGATTGAACACATATTTTTTTTCTCCTAAACATGATCTGAAGCCAAACCTTCAACAAAATGCAGTAAAATGTGCTGCTACGGTAAATACATGAAAATGTATATGTAATGAAGTTATTATAAACCAAAAGTATGTATAAATAATTTAATTTCTGTTCACTTTGTTTGGTGTGACAGAATTTGTATTTCTTTTTTCTTTTCTTTTTTTTGTTGTTTGTTTTGTTGCTGAAACTAGTTGTGGTGGTTTATGAAGATTTTCAATTTTTCACAGTTAAGAAAAAAAGAACCTTGTCAAACTGAGCCACGCACAGTCTTTGTCGTAGAACTTTTAATTGTAATGTAGTTACAATGTAATTACAATTATCTGGCCAGTAGATGGCACTATATTACAATAGAAGATGTTCTGGAAATAACACGGTGATCTTTTTTTTTTAATACAAGTTTTAAAAATTGTCCTTGGTGATTGTTTTACAAAAACATGTCATGCGATTTCAGTACAGTACGTCTATCCGTCTATAGTTATGTATGTAGGCTACGGAAAGTCCACAGCTTCAGCTACTCAAGTATTTCACACCACAGCAGTTTACACAGTGTCTAATGACTCAAACTCAGCTTATCTGTGACCGCCATATTGCATTTCAGCTATTATCACAACCATAAGTTAACTTTCAATCAGGTTAAACGTTATATTGGACCATATATGTTTATATATTATTACAATCTATTAATTAAGTATGAGATTAAAATATGTAGGTGAATTTAAGTAAAATTGTCCACTTGATGACTGTCTAAATGTACCCTAATTCACCCTACTGAAGATAGCTACATCTCAGAGTTCTATTTTAATGTGTAGTAGTGTACATAAGATGGATTTTGCAGCCATCATGAATGCGAATCTGTTATCAAAGTTTTTACATTCCATTATATAACTCGCATTACAGTACAAAATGGGTAACAATGAAAACGCTATATATATATATATATATATATATAGCAAAACTTCTCGACTATGTATGAATGGAAAATAAAAGACTTAGGCGCATATTGTAAATTCTCGCGGTAGGCTGTGAACTATTGAGCAGCTGTGAAGCCACAACGGCAGTGTTTGTATACCAGCTATTTGTGTCACCTGAACAAATGAAGATGCAGTCAGTTTTCTTATTCAGATACATGCTTTGTCCCGGTGTTTTCGACATTTGAGGGTGTGGTATTTTGAAGTAAGGAAACCACTTGCATAACCCAGCGAGTCATGCACCAGTCTGATCAGTCCGACTTGTTTCCACGAATCTTTTGAACAGTTCGTTTCAAGGAAGTGATTCGAGAAAACAATGCGCCGATTCTTTAACTCAATGAAGTGGTCCATGACAACTGTTTGTATGCGTGTTGATTCGGCTGTCCAATATACAAGTCACAAACATACTTACAGAACGTTTTATTTACAAAATTTCTTCTGCCGAAACATACTTGATGTACGTTCTTGCGTTGGTCTGCAGTCCTATGGTAATTTATAGTAAATACTATAGTGTTTTTGAATACTATAGTAAAGTACTTGAATTAATTTGTTGTGGTTATTATATAGTTGCTGTGGTGATAACACAACTATAGTAATATAAACAAATTACTTTACCCAATACTGTAAGTTTTCTACAACTATAAGTATGTTTATCAGTTCACGTACTACAGTATGCTGTGTAGCATTCATTAACAAAGTGCTGTAAATACTATAATATATACAGTATAATGCACTATAGTATGGTTCAAAAACACTATAGTATTTACTATTAATATAGTATTTTTTCATGTGGGTACTCAAGCGGGCGATTCAGATGTCTCTGAATTTAAACGGTGATGTATATTCAGGTTTTGTAAGCATGATTTTAAATATTTTAAAATATTTTCTTCAAACTGTTGCTCCGCCATGACAGTATTTGACCTGAAAAAGGCAATCTCAGCTAACAATTTCGGGTTTCCAGAACGTTCTGGAAACAATTAGTTTGCAGAAAATAAACTACAAAGAACGTTCCCAAAACGTTAGGAGCACTGTGTTCTGTGTTTGCTGGGTGCCACTTCCCTCAATTCACCACAAAATGTTCTTAACTCCCTCAGTATTCAAGGAATCAAGTTTTTAATCGGTCGTCCCGATTTGACTCGGTCAGTCCGAACCGGTTCAATGATTAATTGAACAGAACTGACTTCATGATTCAAATCAAAAGAACTGAACTCTCGACTCCTGAATGAATCAGACACCGCAACAGCTGACAACATTCTATACGTACATATTCGGCAGTCTTCTTCACTAAACAGAAAGTTTTTCTTTTGGTCACCACATTATTTCCTTCAGTCCAAACATGAAAGACGACGAATGTCCTAGTGTAATAATGCATATTAATTTATGAACACAGCTCAGTAAGAGCAGCTTAGTTCCGCTAGTTCTTCAACCCATTCTGCTTGCTTACTTGACACTTTCAGTCTCGCTGTTTTGCATTGGTCAGTGTAGGCGGAGTTTAAGTCACAGTGCCTTCCAAAACAAGGAACGTGCATGTGTCGACACAGATAAGTTACTGCCACCGGGAGGAGAGAGGCGAAGAGCTGCGATGATTTCATAGTTATTGACGTTAAAAAGGTAACGTTGGCATCAAAACGCGGACGTTCTGTTTGAATGGTCTTGATAGTTAAAACGGTTCTAATTGATCCGCGCCTACAGCAATGGCACTGAGAAATCCAAGATGGTCAATGGCTGTGCATTGGGACATGCTGTTATACTTGTGTTTTAACAGCAGCGAATAAAGTTGTTTATGCATGTTGTGGTGTACCCATTGGTAGCTTTGTTAGTAAGTATGAGCTTCCATGAATTGGAGAAACAGTTTGCGTTTTTTAAGTGTTCAGTGGTTACTCGAATGCTTATTAGAGATATGTTTGAATGATGATCCTATTAAGAAGCAGACTATGCTTTTCTATTGGTTTAATCCCCAAGGAATATCTTCAGTGTTGTGGAGGTGTTATGGTCGAGATCTAGGATACTTAAGGTTCCTTAGTTTCAAATGTGTTCAATCACATCTGTGTTCTTTTCGTTGCTAATATTATTGCTGGTGAAATGCATGATCACCTGATTCTTAAATAATCGATGTTTAATGTCCACCTACTCCAGTTGTACCACAACCCTTGAAGAACATGGACGCATCTGAAGAGTCCATAAGAACGATTTCTGATTCTCAGAGCAAAACATGTGTACAGAATCAGGACACACACAAATATCAAGAGAAAAGCCCATCTGCGAAACCAGGTAGGTACTCCATCACACAGGTAACAGAAAAAAAACTTCCAGTATTTTTATTTTTTGATGTCAAAATCTGCGCATCCAGTTAAACTTGACTAAAACAGATCTTTGAGATGTATACATTTTCCTGTTATTTGTTATTTCCTGTGTGGTAATAGATTAAATTTAGAAGCTCTCTCTGTTACAAAGTTTCAATGCAAATAATTGAAATGAACTAGTAAACGAATCTATCGTTTGTGTGGTGTGTGTTTCACAACTTGGTTGGAAATGTAATCTAAAACATGTTCACCTGATCATAGTTGTGTAACAGTTATGTAATACAAATCATAACTTAATGGAACCCTGTTATTAATGTTGTAAATTTCTTGTGATAGCTGTGATGCTGTAATTACGCAGTCATATACAGTAAGGTATATTGGAGTTAATTAAAGGTGATTCGTGTGCAGACTGTTTTATCATTTATCTGGGATGATTATAAGGTCTGCAATACAGCAATTCAAACACTTGCCAGTGCTTAATGTGAAATTGTTTGTACGCTGTAAAAAAAACCTGGTAATTTTCAGAGGACATTTCCGTTAATCATAAAACACAATGCAGTGCAGTGCAAAATTCAAAATATGTGCCCTATTTTTAAAGATTTTTTTACAGTGTAGGACAGCATGGAACAAACCTTGAAAACCAAGGCCATATGAGGTTGTGTGTGCAATAATTGCTGTGAACACAATCAACCAAGCGAATTCGATTTTTTGTTTTTTGTTACATACTGTAACATTCCATATTCATTAGCTATTTTGGTTGTACTGTACTGTAGTAGTTTGAGAATAATTTTAATGTATTTACGTACTTTGGTATGGTGCTTACATGGCATGTATTATGTACTATCCTGTAATTATATAATATTGTATTTTAAAATATTATTTATGTATCTATAAATATAAAATGTATTTATACATTTAATATAAAATGTCATATATTGTATTCTCCTCTCTCTCTGTCTCTGTAGGCAATGGTGCAGCGCTGGTGTTGTGTTCTGTATCTGTGGCCTGCCTGAGTGGGTTGATGATGGGCTATGAGATGAGTCTGATATCAGGAGCATTGCTTCAACTCAGGGACGTTTTGACTCTCTCCTGCCCGCAGCAAGAGCAAGTTGTTGGCTCTCTTCTGTTTGGAGCCTTACTCCTCTCCCTGGGTGGTGGCACCATCCTGGACCGTTACGGACGGCAGTTCTCCATCATCCTCACGGCGCTGCTGTGTGTGTTGGGCACACTTCTGAGCGTGTGTGTGGTGTCATTTTGGGCGCTGGTAGTCGGGCGGATGCTTGTCGGCATGGCGGTTGCGCTGTCAGGCACAGCGTCATGTCTTTACGCTGCAGAAGTGGCACCGGCTGCCTGGCGCGGGAGGTGCGTGTGTGTGTATGAGCTGATGGTAGTTTTAGGGATGCTGTTGGGTTTTGGAATGAGCTGGGCATTCGCGGGGGTCTCGGATGGATGGAGGTTTACGTTTGGTGGTGTTCTGTTCCCTGCTTTGCTGCAAGCAGGCATCATGCCGCTTTTGCCGCAGAGTCCGCGCTTTTTGCTGGCCCAGCAGCGTGAGAAAGAGGCTCACGCAACTCTCCTCCGTCTTCGTGCTGGAATCAAAGGAGTAGACGCAGTGGAGGACGAACTTCAGGCGATACGCATGGCATTGGGGGCAGAGTGCCTGCACGGCTTCCTGGACCTCTTCCGTTCTCGTGACAATATGCTTCAGAGACTGCTTGTTGGCGCTGCGCTAGTTTTCTTGCAGCAGGTTACGGGACAGCCCAACATTTTAGCGTATGCGTCGACTGTTCTCAGCAGCGTGGGCTTCCATGGGAATGAGGCAGCAACTCTTGCATCCACAGGGTTTGGTGTGGTTAAAGTGGGCGGGACCATTCCTGCAGTTTTTTTAGTGGACAAAGTGGGGCCTAAAGCCTTACTTTGTGTTGGCGCCATTGTTATGACATTGTCAACAGCAACACTGGGGGCTGTTACTCTGCAAAGCCGCACACATGTTTCTAGCCTATGCAGAGGCCCCGTTAATAAAGCAAACCTCACAGATTTTGGGATGGGAGAAGAGACTGGTTTCCAGACAAACACTCCACTGGGTTTGTACCAGCCTTCTTACCATGAACTTCAAAACAAGCACAAAACAAATGCTTTCCTCACTAGCATTAATGACACTAAGAACCAATGGATTTTAAACTACACTCCTGATCATAGGACAGCATTAATGGAACTGGCTGAGGGTTCCGAGACAGACAGTTCCAAAATTGCACTTCAATCTCTTCATGTTAATGAAGTGTCACCCTCTCTGAAATGGATCTCTCTGGTCAGCTTGCTGGTGTATGTAGCTGGATTTTCCATCAGCTTGGGACCAAGTAAGATTCAGTCACTGTTCATACTGTCACATAAAACAAAAATGTCCTGTTAAAGGAATAGTTCACCCAAAAATTAAACACTGTTGAAAATGTACTCACTCTCAGGCCAAAGATGTTACAGTGTAGGACAGCATGGAACAAACCTTGAAAACCAAGGCCATATGAGGTTGTGTGTGCAATAATTGCTGTGAACACAATCAACCAAGCGAATTCGATTTTTTGTTTTTTGTTACATACTGTAACATTCCATATTCATTAGCTATTTTGGTTGTACTGTACTGTAGTAGTTTGAGAATAATTTTAATGTATTTACGTACTTTGGTATGGTGCTTACATGGCATGTATTATGTACTATCCTGTAATTATATAATATTGTATTTTAAAATATTATTTATGTATCTATAAATATAAAATGTATTTATACATTTAATATAAAATGTCATATATTGTATTCTCCTCTCTCTCTGTCTCTGTAGGCAATGGTGCAGCGCTGGTGTTGTGTTCTGTATCTGTGGCCTGCCTGAGTGGGTTGATGATGGGCTATGAGATGAGTCTGATATCAGGAGCATTGCTTCAACTCAGGGACGTTTTGACTCTCTCCTGCCCGCAGCAAGAGCAAGTTGTTGGCTCTCTTCTGTTTGGAGCCTTACTCCTCTCCCTGGGTGGTGGCACCATCCTGGACCGTTACGGACGGCAGTTCTCCATCATCCTCACGGCGCTGCTGTGTGTGTTGGGCACACTTCTGAGCGTGTGTGTGGTGTCATTTTGGGCGCTGGTAGTCGGGCGGATGCTTGTCGGCATGGCGGTTGCGCTGTCAGGCACAGCGTCATGTCTTTACGCTGCAGAAGTGGCACCGGCTGCCTGGCGCGGGAGGTGCGTGTGTGTGTATGAGCTGATGGTAGTTTTAGGGATGCTGTTGGGTTTTGGAATGAGCTGGGCATTCGCGGGGGTCTCGGATGGATGGAGGTTTACGTTTGGTGGTGTTCTGTTCCCTGCTTTGCTGCAAGCAGGCATCATGCCGCTTTTGCCGCAGAGTCCGCGCTTTTTGCTGGCCCAGCAGCGTGAGAAAGAGGCTCACGCAACTCTCCTCCGTCTTCGTGCTGGAATCAAAGGAGTAGACGCAGTGGAGGACGAACTTCAGGCGATACGCATGGCATTGGGGGCAGAGTGCCTGCACGGCTTCCTGGACCTCTTCCGTTCTCGTGACAATATGCTTCAGAGACTGCTTGTTGGCGCTGCGCTAGTTTTCTTGCAGCAGGTTACGGGACAGCCCAACATTTTAGCGTATGCGTCGACTGTTCTCAGCAGCGTGGGCTTCCATGGGAATGAGGCAGCAACTCTTGCATCCACAGGGTTTGGTGTGGTTAAAGTGGGCGGGACCATTCCTGCAGTTTTTTTAGTGGACAAAGTGGGGCCTAAAGCCTTACTTTGTGTTGGCGCCATTGTTATGACATTGTCAACAGCAACACTGGGGGCTGTTACTCTGCAAAGCCGCACACATGTTTCTAGCCTATGCAGAGGCCCCGTTAATAAAGCAAACCTCACAGATTTTGGGATGGGAGAAGAGACTGGTTTCCAGACAAACACTCCACTGGGTTTGTACCAGCCTTCTTACCATGAACTTCAAAACAAGCACAAAACAAATGCTTTCCTCACTAGCATTAATGACACTAAGAACCAATGGATTTTAAACTACACTCCTGATCATAGGACAGCATTAATGGAACTGGCTGAGGGTTCCGAGACAGACAGTTCCAAAATTGCACTTCAATCTCTTCATGTTAATGAAGTGTCACCCTCTCTGAAATGGATCTCTCTGGTCAGCTTGCTGGTGTATGTAGCTGGATTTTCCATCAGCTTGGGACCAAGTAAGATTCAGTCACTGTTCATACTGTCACATAAAACAAAAATGTCCTGTTAAAGGAATAGTTCACCCAAAAATTAAACACTGTTGAAAATGTACTCACTCTCAGGCCAAAGATGTTGATGAGTTTGTTTCTTCATCAGAACAGATTTGGAGAAATTTAGCATTACATTACTTGCTCACCACTGGGTCTTCTTCAGTGAATAAGAGTCCCAACAGCCAATAAAAACATCACAATAATCCACAAGTAAACCACATGACTCCAGTCCATCACTTAACATCTTGTGAAGCAGAATGCTGCATGTTTGTAATAAACAAATCCACCATTAAAGCATTTTTAACTTTATATTGTTGCTTCTGGTTAAAATATGAATCCTCTATTCATAATATTGCTTTCTCCGATGAAGAAACAAACTAATCTTGGATGGCCTGAGGGTGAACAAATTGTCATTTTTGGATGAGCTATTCCTTTAAAGGAGTGGTCCATCCAAAATTAAATTCTGTCATCAGTTAATCACCTGTTTCTTATTTGGATCACAAAAGAAAATTGTTGTTGTTTTTTTATTTCAAAAGGTCTTTTTTAAACTAAATTTATTTATGCCTTTGTGTAATCATCAATCTGCAGTGGTTCATGTGGTTTTGAGTGCGATCTTCCCGACTGGCATCCGTGGAAAGGCTGTGTCCGTCATCTCTGCCTTTAACTGGGCCACAAATTTGCTCATATCGATGACCTTCCTTACTCTGACAGGTAACACACACAAACACAGAGTGAAGGGTTATTTACAGCTATGAGATCAGTAGATCATGGTGACCCAGTTGTATTGCAGGATGCAGTCAGTGTATTTATCAGTATCTGGGTTCTGAAGGTCATCCAGTAAAACCAAGAAGATTGAGGCTGTCTCTATTTAGATAAGTAGTTAATTTGTGTGTTCTCATGGGGTAAGCAATTGCTGATTTGACACTTTTGTACTCTGGGTGCTTGATCTGTCACTGTTAGGAGGAAAATATTACAATTAATGTTACTTTTTCTCAAACTTAGGGTTAGTGGTAAATTCCTAAGCCTAAATACAAAATCTGTCTCTTACTGTTTGTGCTACAGACATGAATGTCATTACATTTCTAAAAAGTGTCTGATAAAGCCAGACACCATAATGTCCCTTCAGGAGTTATGTAAGAGCACAGTTAATTTTGCCATAGATCATTAACTAACCAGGTAAAAAGGATAAGTTGTTTTGATTCAATTACTACTCTGTAAAAACAGTGGATTGATTATTAATGTTAGAATTGAACCCAGCATGTTTTTCCCATAGTCTACAAGCATTGCTCTAGCTAGCCTAAAATGATATAAATCAAAGGTTTTCAAACAGGTCCAGGGACCTCAAGGGGCCTGCAAGAGGGGGGGTCCACAATGGGGTCTGTGAAATATTTGAGTTAAAAAATTAAGCATGTCAGTGTCTGGAATAATTGTTGTGAAAAGGTCACTACAGATACATTTTAAATAAATTAACATGACACGATAATGGGTAGAAAAAAAGATAGGCTTAATACAATGTTTTTATTTTTCATATACTGTATATTATCATATATATTTACATTACATATCAGATGACTAGCAGCTCGCTCTCTTCACCTCTTTGTACACTCTTGTTATCAAGATTACAAAGCATCAAACTCAGGAACCTAACTTTCACAACTGCTTATTCATCCTATCTTAAAGGGGTCATATCATATTCTCTTTGGAGTGTTACAAGCTCTTGGTGCATAAAGAGTCAACCACGCCTACCTAAAATGGCTCATTCTAACACGCCCCCACATGTCTACGTCACGACGTGGGAAGATTTGCATAACGCTGCCCAAATGTTCACGGAAAAAAAGTAGGCGTAACTTTGATTCTCGCTGTAGTATTGTTGCTGCCGCCGCGTACGTTTTCATATTTAAAGAATTTGCCACTGACGATTCAAACACGAGTTTTGGGCAGTGTAGAGTAGCGCTTGTTGTTTGTTGTTTCTCTGATCACAAATGCAGACATGGTTTTATTGTTTACGCAGCGCGATACGCAACGCGTAAAAAGACAGTATAAGTCATTATAATCAGTAATTATGTCCCCACTGGATGCAACAAATGCCTCGTTTATAATGGGTTTTACTGGTTTACTGGTCTCGTCACGCCGGGACACGGCATCACAATATAGTAAGGGGCGTAACATTTCAGTCACACACTTGAGGCATTCAGCCAATCACAACGCACTGGATAGCTGGCCAATCAGAGCACACCTCGCTTTTCAGACCGATGAGCTTTGTAAAAATCGACACGTTTTAGAAAGGCGAGGCATAGAGGAGAAACAATAATGTACAGTATGTGGAAAATAATGTGTTTTTTTAACCTTAAACCGCATAAACACATTGCATTACACCAAATACACAAAATAATGTTCTTTTTAGCAATGTCATATGACCCCTTTAAAGTAAACAAAGGACGTATTGCAAGTACTTTCCATAGCATTCAAGCATTTTTACACTCAAGTATATATGGCATTAACCTAAAAACAAGCAAATAACATAACACTGAAACAGGTAAATAGCAATATCAGTATCCAAACACAATATAAGCAATGTTTTGTTCTCAGAAACTGATCGCAAAGTGTGGCTGGAGTTAGGATTGTGTTTAGAGGCAGTCTGCCAAACATCCATTTGCCACCTGTGGGGATGTTCCTGCAGAGATGGAATGAAAACACAAAGAAACACAAACTTACAAAGTTTTGCACAGAACAATAAACAAAAAGTAGGTTTTGTAACAGAAAGGAGTGTTTTTCAGAGGTCATTTACTGAAATGTGTTGTGGTTGTAGAGAGGATCGGCCTGCCCTCGGTGATCTTCTCCTACGCTGCTATGAGCTTCGTGTTGGTGGTGTTTGTGATTGTATTTGTGCCAGAGACGAAAGGCCGATCTCTGGAACAGATCTCTAAGGAGCTTGCCATGAAGTGAGTGCACTCACACATACACATGCAAATGCCTCTCATGTTAATGATCCCATTGACCTGTGTTGTTCTCATATTAAGTCAGTTAATTATGATGACCCTATGGTCACCCTAAATTAATAGTGTTTGTTAAGGTATCACTGCTCATTAAATGTATTAAAAATTTGGCATGGAAGATTATTTTATTAATTAAGATGTTATTTATTAAATAATTTTATTTGTGAATGTTTTAATTAGTGCTGTCAAACGGTTAATCGCATCCAAAATAAAACTTTTTGTTTACATAATATGTGTGTGTGTACTATGTATATTTATTATGTATATATAAATACACACACATGCATGTATATATTTAAGAAAAATATGTAACATTTATATATTAAATATATTTACATATGATATAAATTATATGAATATAAATATATACATGTAAATATTTTCAAAATATGTGCTGTATGTGTGTGTATTTATATATACATAATAAATATACACAATACACACACATATATTATGTAAACAAAAACTTTTATTTTGGATGCTATTAATCGCGATTAATCGTTTGACAGCACTAGTTTTAATGTATTTATTAAATCTTAAAAATATATGGCTAAAAAAGTCCTACAGATTTACAATTAAGGTGAGATTTAGGCATACAGAATATCATAGAGACTTGGGATGATGAACATTGTTTTTTCAGCAACCTGTTCTACAACAGTTACACACCCCATTCGGCTAAAAATTACTTTATAGGCTAATAGTGGTGTGAGGGTCAAAAACATTCATACACCCAATTTTAAAATGCTTGGCACTTGCCCCACATTGCATGTGTCAGTGACTTTTTGTTTTAAAGTGCATCATTGTAATGATCAGACACGTGTCTTGTTCTGCAGGAATCACCTGAGCAGCAGACTTCTGTTTGACAGAAGAAAACACGAGGCTGCAGCACAGCCCTCACAGGAGGAAAAAGCCCTCGCAACTGTTTGACTTTTTGCCTAGATGAAGAGTGGAAGAGCACAAGGGTATTGCAAACGACCGATTGTTCTTGGTGCCGTCTGGCAACTTACAGGACAGACAAACCTGTGACTGCACTTTTCAAAGTATTGAAGACATATAACTGATTGATGTTGTCATGGCTATAATTTAGCTTAATAAACCTTCCCATGGCATGATGGGTCAGAAAAGAGTTTATATGTCAATCTGATATATTTGTATTCTTTTTTTAAATGCATTTTACAAGTAGTTTTGGTACTGATTGAGATTTATATGGAGAATGTACAGCTTACTGGTATGAAACACTTTGGAAATTGTGCAATCATGACCATAATCATGCCATGACAAGTCAAAGCCAAGTTCTGTGTCAGTGTTTGTGTGCTGAGCACTACTATAGACAACACCTGAAGGTGTCTCTCTGGCAGGAGATGCCATCATGTAATCAGGTTAACTGCAAATCGGCATGTTATGTAATATTACAAACTGAAAGTTTGTTCATTCAAAAATATATGTGATTATAGTCAAAAATCACATCTCTTTTCTCTTGCTCCAAGTCGTTTTGATTTAAACAAACATTTTGTTTTGTTTACATTGAAATTTTTGAATTAGATTAAAAACACATTTGATAATTATAAAACAAAAATAAAATGCATGTAAATAAAGTTAAGATTGTAGCGATATGCTTTTCTATAGATTAATGTTTTTCCAGTAAGCCAGCGAATTATGTAAATTTAATCATAGACATGACTTCCCTGAGGTAAATGTGACGTCACGTGACTTGCTCACAAGCTGTTTTATCGACGGTGGTTCAAACACTTATTGGGCGAATACATGAGGCATGAAACGTTTCAGTAATTGGGCGAATACATGAGGCATGAAACGTTTCAGTAATTGGGCGAATACATGAGGCATGAAACGTATGTGTGTGTATTTATATATACATAATAAATATACACAATACACACACATATATTATGTAAACAAAAACTTTTATTTTGGATGCTATTAATCGCGATTAATCGTTTGACAGCACTAGTTTTAATGTATTTATTAAATCTTAAAAATATATGGCTAAAAAAGTCCTACAGATTTACAATTAAGGTGAGATTTAGGCATACAGAATATCATAGAGACTTGGGATGATGAACATTGTTTTTTCAGCAACCTGTTCTACAACAGTTACACACCCCATTCGGCTAAAAATTACTTTATAGGCTAATAGTGGTGTGAGGGTCAAAAACATTCATACACCCAATTTTAAAATGCTTGGCACTTGCCCCACATTGCATGTGTCAGTGACTTTTTGTTTTAAAGTGCATCATTGTAATGATCAGACACGTGTCTTGTTCTGCAGGAATCACCTGAGCAGCAGACTTCTGTTTGACAGAAGAAAACACGAGGCTGCAGCACAGCCCTCACAGGAGGAAAAAGCCCTCGCAACTGTTTGACTTTTTGCCTAGATGAAGAGTGGAAGAGCACAAGGGTATTGCAAACGACCGATTGTTCTTGGTGCCGTCTGGCAACTTACAGGACAGACAAACCTGTGACTGCACTTTTCAAAGTATTGAAGACATATAACTGATTGATGTTGTCATGGCTATAATTTAGCTTAATAAACCTTCCCATGGCATGATGGGTCAGAAAAGAGTTTATATGTCAATCTGATATATTTGTATTCTTTTTTTAAATGCATTTTACAAGTAGTTTTGGTACTGATTGAGATTTATATGGAGAATGTACAGCTTACTGGTATGAAACACTTTGGAAATTGTGCAATCATGACCATAATCATGCCATGACAAGTCAAAGCCAAGTTCTGTGTCAGTGTTTGTGTGCTGAGCACTACTATAGACAACACCTGAAGGTGTCTCTCTGGCAGGAGATGCCATCATGTAATCAGGTTAACTGCAAATCGGCATGTTATGTAATATTACAAACTGAAAGTTTGTTCATTCAAAAATATATGTGATTATAGTCAAAAATCACATCTCTTTTCTCTTGCTCCAAGTCGTTTTGATTTAAACAAACATTTTGTTTTGTTTACATTGAAATTTTTGAATTAGATTAAAAACACATTTGATAATTATAAAACAAAAATAAAATGCATGTAAATAAAGTTAAGATTGTAGCGATATGCTTTTCTATAGATTAATGTTTTTCCAGTAAGCCAGCGAATTATGTAAATTTAATCATAGACATGACTTCCCTGAGGTAAATGTGACGTCACGTGACTTGCTCACAAGCTGTTTTATCGACGGTGGTTCAAACACTTATTGGGCGAATACATGAGGCATGAAACGTTTCAGTAATTGGGCGAATACATGAGGCATGAAACGTTTCAGTAAGTTGCATTTTATCTTTTATGACCCTCTAAAGTTTATCCATGTTTTTCCCGCACTGTATTTAGTAAAGAGGAAAAGATGATTGGTTTACTCGCGCCAAATACTTTAATTTACAGCGATCTGTCGCGCCACAGAAGAGCGTCAAAACGACATTTATTGTTAAATTTTCGCAGTATAACCAAACACATTGAAAACTCATTGAAAACTTTTTTACTTTGCTTATAACCGCGTTTCAAACGGCCCATTGTGACTAATCTGCATAGAGTTAGAATATGAATGGCCTAAACTTGTTTGTGCGGATGAAATTTAAACGATGAAATGAAAGAATGAATGTAAACGTGATAATAGCATAAAAGATAAAATAATAATCAAATTAAACATTTAAAATAGTTACAAAACTATTAAGTGAGGCAGTGGACATGCAGTACTTTGAATGACCTGTGGGCCTAAATATGAGTAATGCTGGGGTATTCCTCTTGCAGACACAGAAGCAATGACTTAATATAGGGATTATTTTATTTTGTTTATAATAAAATACAAAAGTTTTCACATACTACATAAACATATGAACCAACAACTCCTTCACAACCCAGAGTGTTCTTGTCCATAGTATACACCAGATATACATCACCTGCTGTTTAAATGTGAAGTGTTTGCCCTTTAACTTCTCGCTTCTGACATATAGTATCAATAAAAGAGCTCCAAAAATGTCACTAGAATCAAATTAGCTAAAATTTCCAAGAAGTTTCAGTAAAACGCGATCCTTAAATGTCACTGCTTGACAAGGTTTTACTTTGGTGTCCATGCATTATATAATACAGTTAATTCAAGTGTTTATATATACACAATGTCAGCAACACAATGTCAATGCACTAATGGTCCTCTTCTGAGCTTTAAGAGGTCGTCATTAATCAATGTAGGGTCCGAACACCAAAGTCAAGGTTCAAAGGCATGACTGAAAACACACGACCCAGACCCGCTTGGACGTGAAATGGCAAATGTAGGGTCCGAACACCAAAGTCAAGGTTCAAAGGCATGACTGAAAACACACGACCCAGACCTGCTTGGACGTGAAATGGCAAAAGCTGCCTTGGAGACACATACAGTACAACAGTTACAAGCCTTAAAACATTCAATGATAAGGTGCTTTTCATTTCAAACTGGTGCCTATGTGTGTGTGTGGTTTATGACAGAGCTTTCTGACACTCAAACAGCAGAGGATAAATCTGCTCCACTGCGGATGCCACGCTCTGCACATTTGGTCCTAGAGAGAGGGAAAGACGGTTATTGATAGGATAAGGTCTAACATTAGTTCAGCTTTTTGTTTTACAAGAAAGCAGGTACTAAACAGTGGGTTGCATTAAAGGGGTGGTTCAGCGATCGGTCTGTGCAAGAAACTGAACAGTATTTATATCGTTTTTTTACCTCTGATGCACTAAAATGCCTGAACTGTACTGCGCGTCCTCGACACAGCCTGCTCACCTACATCTTGGATGTCCTGGGGGTAAGCAGATAAACATCACATTTTAATTTTTGGGTGAACTATCCCTTTAATGCTTCATTTTGTTAAAAACGCATTATTTTTCACATAATTTACCTTTATTCCACACCGCTCTGTCCCTTCTCTGAGAAACGCGCTGATCAATTTCTTGCTTTTATGAAGCCCCTCCCTCAGAAATAGGCAACTTTTATATGCTGTTATTTGTAAATTCTACTGCTTATGTTAGCTTTTAATATACAGTTTTATCCTGATTAAAGCTTCAATACAGTACGCGTGCATGTTTAACGCTTCTCATAGCTATGTGAAAATAAGTGTATAATTGTAACAGTTCATTGTTGGAGCTGAGCTGAATGAGAGAGAGAGAGAGAGAGATGCAGAGCAGGGGGACGCGAGGAACAGTATTAAGAACCGCTGCTTTAGAACATTGATTTTGAAACCTGTGAATCCATTAGAATCGTTAGAAGACAGAATCGCGATTCATATATGAATAGATTTTTACGTGCACCTCTAGTTTTCTCTTCCTCTTCTCTAAAGCAGCGCAGCATGGCCTCGCCCCCTTTGCTGTCTTTTCCCGGGGGCGGGGTTTATCTGGGTTTGTGATGTCACGGGAAGTAACTTCTTGTAGTCCCTACCAGCCGTTTTTGTAGGCATTAAACTGCCAGAATTTTAAAAGACGATATCTCCGTTTGCATTGAACTTTCAGCTTAGTAACTTTGCAGATATTGTTTATGCTCAAACAGCAACATTACACACTAACTAACGTTAAAAAAAGTGAAATCGCAATGAACCACCCCTTTAATTATTCATGGTTATATTTGTGTGAAAATGATTTCATGCAGAAATCATGAAAAAATTCTTAAATAGGTTTACGCTTAAATATAAAATAAAATTTTGATCCAACTCAAACCATGCAAAAATATGAATTAAAAAAAAAAGGATTTTTAAAAATCAAACCTAGAAACATTAAGCCGAAATGTTTTATCTATTATTATATTAAGTAAAATATGCTATAATATTATTTAATATTTTCTGCACATATAAAAACACTAAGACAATTATTAATTAATATCACTGATGAATAAAAACATTTGAATCTTAAACAAATAAAAAGACTCCAGAGCTTCATTGTAGCTTACTACATTATATTTGCTCATATCCAGACCTTCAGGATTTATACAGTCCTGTGGGCTGCCTTTAATGTAATGTGGCTAAATAATCTGGGAATAATTCTTACTAATGCAGTAATCTGTATGAGCTCTATGGAGGCAAGCACTGAAGTCTTGGAAATTTAAAATTCTTAAGTAACTTGACACTGAAGTCATTTTTATTGGTAGTTTTCATACGAATTCATTAAATATTACAGACTGGCATTGTATTCAAAGGTTCTTCAACTGTCCAGATATTTGCAGTACATTCCAGATAAATCCAGATTATGGTAGTGAAAATTATACTGAGCGAACGCTGTGTGAGTGGTTTACCTGTAACAGTGATATTGCCTGTGGAAAACACCTGCACTGTACTCCTGAGGTTTTTAATTCTGTATGACGCAGCAGGATGGAGCTCGGGTTCATAGCTAAAAATACACACAGACACATATATAGTGATGAGACCTGCAATCCAGCTGTAGGAGAACATGTTCCTTGGCATGTTTTGATATTGCTCAATGCCGCATTCACCATTTCACCACTAGAGAGCACTGTTCCCCTTTTTTAGACCCTTAAGGTTCCTTTGGAGCCGGTGTTAACATCCGTCTCTGGCGATCCAATCACAAGTGGTCAGGCGAGACACATTACTGTTCACAGCTGGTATTAACATGCATCTCAAATGTGCCTCCTGTGACCACTTGTGACTGGATTTCATTGAAGGGAAGGTCTCAGATTTCATCACTACATCCATCACTAACTTGTTTAAACCTGTATTTAGTTCTGACCAGTTGTCAAATTGGCCCAAAACGGATGTTAATACCAAATGTAAACGAGCATGAGCACAAATTGTATGTTTACAAAGCCCCTCCATTACACATTTCATTACACCAAATACACAAAATAATGTTCTTTTTAGCAGCATCATATGACCCCTTTAATTGCTTTCATTAATACTAGCCATCCACAACACAAATGCACATACTATTAAAATACATGGGTATAATGAAATTTCTGTGGAGTTTGAGAACACCATGGGAGCAAATATAATGCAGGGTTCCCACGGGTCCTTGAAAGTTTGTGAATCTGAAAAAAAAATTCAAGGCCCTGGAAAGTTTTTGAAAATAAACGTACATAGATACATGTCCTTGAAAGTGCTTGAATTTATTTTGTGCAAGAAGTTTTCTGGAAAAAATTACATATTATTCCCTCTGGTCGACTAATGTGTTATTTCGCCAACATTTCATGGCCTATGCAAACTAGCTTGCTTGATTTACGTTAGTTACACGCATTTTATGCGTTATGTTAAGTGTTTCCCACTTGAGACACTTTGTGTTGTATATGGCAAGCCAAAAGAGTCAGAATTAAATTTATGCTGTTAAATACAACGGTTTTTACCATTTACGCGCATTTTTTTTTACAGCGTCTGCTATCAGGACGCCGTATTTGACGGCGCTAATGCTGTTTTAAACGCCGGAAAAAACTGCGTTTTGTATGTAAACGCGATTTATCTATAGCGTAATTCTGACTCTGCTGGCTTGCCATAATTGTACGTTGTCATGACGTTCACGCACACAGGAAACTACTACAATGGTACCTTACCGTTTCACAGACACACCGTGAAATTAATGTTGAATTGCTTTGCTTGTTAAGATAATGTTAACCCATGAGGCAAGAAAAACTTAAAAGCATATTCATATATCTTAAAACTTCTGATTACACGAGCCTAAGCTCTTTTCAATAAAATCCATGCAAAAGTTAATATCAGGTCATTTTAGAATACAGTATAGGATGTACCGAATATTCTTCAGTTTTATGCAATACGACAAATAGAATATCAGATCTCTGTCATATGGCCAAAAATAAATGCAAAAAAATAAATAAAATGCTTTTTTTGCATAGTTGTGTTTGACACATGAAAACTGTAACAATGTATCTTACAAGGTAACACGGTGTAACCTTGCTCTCACTTGAAATGTGTCCCCACATTAAGTCCTTGAATTTGAGGGTATTGGACCTGGAAAATCCTTGAAAGGACCTTGAATTTTAAGTTAACCAAGGTGTGGGAACCCTGATAATGTCTTACCTGGCAATAGGTCGGTTATTCTTAGTGAACTCGATGAGACGGATTTGAAAAGGCAAGGAGCACACCGCCAACACATTGACAACCTTAAAGTCCGAGAACCTCACCTGCAGATGAGATTATAACAATAATACATCATTCAGAAGTTCTACAAAGCTGTTTACGGTAGCTATTAATCAATTTAGACACCTTGAATCCAATCTTCTGCAGGCAGCGGGCCAACCGTCGAGCACCTAGTTTGGCTTCTTCCTCACTAAACAAAAATAAACATGCATGAAATTCACCAGATAGAAAAAAGATAGGATTTTAGAAGACATTGATGATTTCAGTAGCACAAACAACTCTTGGCTTATTAGTATTCTGAGAATTGAAAAGCAGATTTTAGAAAGACCTTGTTGCTCCAGTGCAAATAATTTTCCCTGATGACCATATAGTGGCAGTGATACGTGGTTTCCGCAGCTTCATCAGGACTTTCTGGAAAAACATCCACAGAACATAAGCAACAACATGCGTTAATGATTGGCCATATACTGATTAATACTGCTGATACTGATGATTTTGAGCAAAAGGTGAAAACATGGCACTTTCCATGAATTGTGCACATGTTGGTGTCCCATTACATTATTTTTAAGCTGTAAGGGACAAAATGCATGTTTTGTAACAAAAACACTAGACATGTTAAACGATTATGTAACACAACTGACATAGCAGGAAAAGTTGCTAGTCTTCAAAAAATGTATAACATCAATTGGACCCTTTCTCCTGCAAATCTTCTCATTTTGTTTCTCAAATATGTGACCCTAGACCACAAAACTAGTCATAGGTCGCACTAAGGTTGTGCCGATAGACGATAGTATTGTGTATCGATGATAGACAGAGATCTCGCCTGTGGCTGATGCCTTTGACGATAGCAAGATTATTATTATTATTATCATTATCAGGCTAGTAATACTATAATTAATATTAGGGCTTATTTGTTGCATTAGGCCTACATTTCTTTTACCGCATTTTTACATTATTGCTCGTTCTAACCAATCACACACGATTATGCTGAGCTTATGAATGCAATGGCCAATCAGGGATTCAGATGAGTCATCACTGAAACAGCGGAGTTCTGTTGTTCAGCACGCACCGAGTGAATTCTTAATTTTTTGGAAAAGATTGAAAAGACTAAAATCACACAAATTTAAAAAGTGTTTATAATTGCATTTAGACATGACAAATTTATTAAGTAGGTTTTGAGACAATAACATCTGTACATCATTTGAGTGATGTATAGTGATGACAAAATGAGTAAAAAAATTTTTTTAAGAGTTTAAGGTCATAATAATACGGTTACAAATCTTTTCATACTAACATTCGTAAATCCAGAATATAGGTGCTTAAGTATAACAACTCCTCTCCAAAGGTGTAATTGTCTAGACTTACTCCCATTTCAGGCTTGTAGATGACATTAGACCCCTCTAGGCCGATGGTACGCAGGTTTAGATGGCACCTGGTTCTGAAGACAGATACGACATTGGTAATGATGATATCAAGTGCCACATCATTACTGGGTTCCATGGAGCCGCTGTAGATGTTTTAAGCTTGACAACCCTTTTACAGATGCATGTCACGTTACAAAACAAAACCTGCAAAATACATAAACGTAAGAATTTTTCTCCAGGTACTGGGTGGTTTTACGTTACATTTTGATGTTAGCTAAAGCTAAGTTATACCTGCCTTAAATGACTGGTAACCAAATGTTATCAAGGTTTAATACCCACAATAGGTGGTGATTCATTAACTATGACCACTGTGCTTGAAACAAAGGCACTTAACCCCAGCCTTTCAATGGGGAATGATCCCTGTAATAAATGCACTCTAAGTCACTTTGAATAAAAGCATCTGTTAAAATGACCACTTCTATGTACTAAAGTGAAATAGCTCGCAAGTTTAGCTGCTGAGATGCCTACTTGAAAAATATCAAAGCAGCCATTATTTTACATTCTCTATTTTAGCATTCAAGCTGTGTCCACAAAGCACTGGCACACGTTTTAAACAGATCAAATGACAAAACAATAACGCAGCAACTCCTAACAAACTGATTTACATTTCATTGTAAAATATTATATTTCATCACAAATGAAGGCAACACAGGCATCAGCAGGAGACAATAACATTAAACGTGCATGCTAGCTATTTAACGTTAAGCTCAAACACTAAATAACAGAGCTGCACCGTTAGAAACAAATGTAAATATGCATGCAAAAGCGACCATAAATTAGTTTAAACAACACAGAGACGTTTAGTTAATAACTAAATGAATGGCAAGCACACTGAGCTAAGAAACTTTCACTTACTTGACTGATATGGGCGTCAAACAGTGCGTCCGAGAGAATCTTATTATTATAAAACGTGGTGAGACGATCTTAAAACAAGTGTTCAAATGTGTTAAAAATCTATATGAATAAAATTAACGGTTGGAGAAACACCAAAAGTAAACAAAAGCGTCAACAGACAACCGGCGATTGTTGTCAAGGATGCCTCAGTTCCTGCGCGAGATGAGAAACTGTCCGTTCAAACACGCTACAGCGCCTCCACACGGATGGGAGAAAATCAGCGACACAAGTTTTAATGTAGAACATACATTTTCCTTCATAACTGAAAGCCTACTAGTGCCATCTTTTGGTAAAAGAAACATTAGTCTGTGCCAATAATAATAATATACTTTGCATATTTTAAAACTTGATCCTGATATTGAATTTAATAATCAGAATGTTAAAATACGCCTCTCATGGGCCAAATATGTCCCACAACTTTACCTGCCATTTGTTAAAATAGCAACATTTCTGCCTGAAATCTAAATTTCATGTAAATTCAAATGTATTGAATTAGAAGATAGACTAAAATAAACAGAAAATAATTATGAATCCTTAAAAAACTTTACATATATGTCCAAAACAAAAATAACAAAACAAATAGGTATTTTCTATAAGACTTTTTAAATAATGTTTTATGTTTTGTCAGCACTTTTTGTCCAGACACACAATTTAATTATTATTATTTTTTTAATCAGGCAGTATCAAAGTCAGCCTTCATCCTAACGGCCCATTTTCCATTTCACCTGCTAGGAGTTAAACAGCATTACAAAGACACAGGTGAGTGTTATAGTTGTTGTTGTTGTTGTTTTTTTCTGCTGCATTTCATATATGAATATGGGTAACATGAAACATATGAAATATGGTTTTGTTGTAAACATATTTGCAGACTATGCTGAGAGTTCACTAGACGAAGCTGACTATCAGTTTGAAGTGTAGTATGATTTCATGCGTCCACTGAAGTAAATGCTATTTGTCAATGGGTATATTAAATATTTTACACTTCTTTCGAACCAGAAGTTGTTAAACCATGTTGAACCAATCAAGTGATTGACAAGGAGAAACACATTTTGTAAGAAAATGAAGGAAGCAGGAGTTTGCACTCCAGCATAAGTGAATACCTCTTGTAGCAAAGTGAGGTATAGACCCAGTATGATTGGCTGGCGTTACCCAAACAGGTGAACCTCAGTGTTTGTACTTTATCATGATTGGTCAGTTGGGTAGGTTTCATGAGCCAATTAGTGCCTGTGTTGTGCATTTAAAAGGGTGAAGTGTTTGGTTGCTTGGGATGCATCATCCTTGGTACTGCCCCTTTGTGACATGTGGCGCTTTGAATGAGTGCTAGCAGTTGGGTTATCCTCCTGTCTGTTGTGTACTGGCTGTTGGCCAGTTTTCAGGTTTGTCCCTGTTTTAAAAAAGCCTTTTTGCCTGTTAAATGGAGAGGCTTATTACCTTTTGTTTGTTTTTAGATATGGGCCTGCAAGTAGCTGTAATCCTGCGTGGTGAGCGACCATGTGTATTGCAGCATTGTACCGTTTTCTTGGTAGGTATGGGTAGTTTAAAGTTTGTTTTAAACAAGTTTTTATGCGTAAATTGTTCAATGTCCAGCAGGATTGATTGCACATCCAGGGGTTTCTAATGATCTTAATTGAAGCGTAAGGTGTATTCCGGGTGGCGTAGTCGACTATAGGATTTCTTATTATTGGTAATTTTTCAATCTCCTGACCACTTACTGCCACACTCTGAACATGTTGAACTAGTTAATCCAATGTAATTACTTAACACTTAAACAATTGCCCGTACAATCTCCCCTATACTTAGGAAAAATTGTACATTGGCCATCTGTCTGACGGTATCGTCCAGCACTGCATTGTGTCCGACACTCTTTTTTCCGAGATATTATTCACAGCTTTCCACGGCTGTGTTTATTTTGTCCTGTCTCAGGTCCAGGTTTAAGGGGGTCAGCAGCTTTTGTCTGAAGTGGACACATCTGGACAGAAAGCATTGTTAGCGGTTTTGCGGCTTCTGGAAAGGTGACTGCAAAATTGAAGTAGCCACTCTGGCATGACTAGGAGAAAAGGATATAACTGAGGGTTTTCAGCTGTCTGAATGGACCTTCAGCACTTTTAGTGAATGAACTCGTGACACCTAGATTATGTGCTGAACCAGCCTCAGATAAATCTAATTTATTTGATATGATACTAACAGTAAAGTCTCTGGACAAAAGTCAAGTTACCTTCATTTTGATAGTGCTTTAAACAATGCAGATTCACAGTGATAAACAGGAGATAACAGACTCAATGCTGATTAGAGAAATTTAGCATTTAATCACTTGCTCACCATTGGATCCTCTGCAGTTAATGTCCAGTGCAGTAAAAGTCCATTTAACATCTTGTGAAAAGCTGTGTGTTTATAAGAAACAAATCCACCATTAAGACATTTTAAACTTCAAACCACTGTTTCAAGCGAAAAATATGAGTGAACTATCTCCAGTGAAAAATTGTCTCGTCTGAATCAGGAGAGAAATATGCACAGAACAAGCAATGTTTACAATTGAAAACAGTTCTAAACAAATGTGTTGGTGGATTTTGATGTGGGAGGGCAATAGGGGGTGGACTTTTTGAGGAAGCGTTATGGACTATGTGCTAATATTTTGTCCAGAAGCAACAGTTAAAAACATCTTAATGATGGATTTGTTTCTTACAAACAGTTTTTTTGCTTCACAAGAAGTGTGTGGATTATTGTGATGTTTTTATCAGCTGTTTGGACTCTCATTCTGACGGCACCCATTCACTGCAGAGGATCCATTGGTGAGCAAGTGATGTAGTGCTTAATTTCTCCAAATGTGTTCTGGTTAAGAAACAAACTCATCTACATTTTGGACAGTGTTAATTTCGTCAACGAAGACGACGACGAAAAATATTCGTTAACGAACATTTTTTCTGTGACTAAATTTATGCCATGTCTTCGTTAACTAGACGAGACGGAACTATATGTTATTTGAGGACTACAGGACATTCAAAATACATCCTATAGAATAGCCTACCGGCTATTGTCCTTCAAAATGTGCGTCCCTGTCATTAGATTGCAATCGGATAAGGGGCATTTGCATATCTAGTCTCAGTATGGCAGCCGCAGTTGACAGATGGGCTAATAAAACGCGAACTAGCGATCTGAAACAATGGCCTCAGCACCCGAAGGGGTAGGGATAAGGTGACCAGACGTCCCGTTTTTCCCGGGAGTCACAATTCCTTGTCGATTAACTTAAAGTTAGTGAAGGTGGGATAGGCGGAATCGAGCTGATAGACGTGCTCTCTCTCGCGCACGCTCCTCCTCTTCAGTTCTCATATCTCAAATACACACACAGCAGTCCAAATGTCTATCGTTTAGAGTATCTCACGTAAATACAGTCGGTTATGGATTAAGTGAATGTAAACAGGTGGGTGAAAACTGAACGTGTGTCATCCATGCATGCATTCCGTCTTAATGGGACAGCATTCTTAATTAAGTACCTATCCGTGTCATTAATGTTAACCAACAAAAGATGTTAAACAAATATGTTAAGTAAACCTACTGAATCTGAAAAACGAGTTTAATTTGTATCTCTTTCGTATTTGTCTTATTGTCTTATTCTGCTTCTTTTTCAAAAATTATATATTATATATGAACAACTATAATTTTTATAAGTTGCTCCCTTTTCACTACTGTTAAAGGGATAGTTCACCCAAAAATGAAAATTGTCAATTTATTCAAGTTTTTCCAAATTCAATCCTTGATTCAAATTTCTCATGCTTATTTGATTTGGTCTAAAGAGAGAAGAATTAATGACTATTTTTGTTTGAAGACTACATATAAAATAGCTACCAAAATAAATGTTGGTAACTGCAGTTTGACTAAAAGTAATGACTAAAAGTTGACAAAAATGCAATGACTTTTCGTCGACTAAAACTATGAAAGACTAAAATGTGACTAAGACTATTAAGCATTTTTGTCTCAAGATAAAGACTAGACTAAATCAAAAATGCCTGTCAAAAGTAACCCTGATCTTGGATAGCCTGAGGGTGAGTAAATGTTCATTTTTTAAGTGAACTATTCCTTTAAATGTTGATTAAACCCCAAAGGCAATTTTACTTTCATCCTTCCCTAATTTTTCATTCCAAAGCATTTACCAAGCCATTCTGATTTTACTAATTTGGGCTCGCCTGAACTCTGTTGCACTCTAAGACTCCAAACTGGACGTTTCCCAGGCAAAACAGCACAATAGCTTCAGTGATTCAGTGCTGTTGTTTGGTTCCTCCTTGGTTACCAGATAGGCTTTGTGAAATCTCAAGGGCCTCTCTGGCAGAAATATACTGAAGTAAATAAAATAAATTGTGTGTGGAAAGCCCTGTAAAGATGTCCAGAGCTGTTTACTATAAAGCTTGAGATTTAAAGCAGGTTAGCGCAGTGTCAGACCACAAGCGACGTCGGCCACGCCCCCTACCGCACTGCAACTTCAGAGACTTAAGTGTGTTTATAGACTATAAAATAGACCTTAGCATCATTGAAATTCTCTTCCTGAGAGAAATAATACGTTGTTCATTAAGATAGAAGATACATAAACAGACCGAACAGGCAGAGTAAACACATTCTCCATCACTCCCTTGCTCCTCCGTGAGCCCTGCCCGTCCCCGACCACCAAGATCCTCTCGGATCTTCTGTTCTCCTATCCGCTCATCTTTTGGATGGGGAAAAAAATAACCATTGCTTTTACTCCAGTCGATTCCAGAACCATCATTCTTGTTTACCGCACTGGAGGTCAGAAAAAGGAAGTGCTATCGCTTTTATCTACTCTGCCAAACAGCATAAACACAGCCCGATGGCTTAATACCAGCATGACGCACCATTTGCATGTTACGCTAGTACAGAGGACGTTAAAGGTCGCGCAGGACTCGGGTCGGAGGTTAAGAAAGGGTCAGTTCCGTTGGAGAGTGTTTGGGGTTAGATGAGGGGCATTGGACGGCGTAAGCTTGCAGGAGGATGTGAGTTCTGGAACCCTTTAGAACCCTTGTAAAAGTAAAATCAAATGCATCTGGATGCCTCTTTGTCTAGTTTGAAGACAGAGATGCTGAAACGCCATGTCATATTAAACATTGTTTGTGCTGTTGGATGTGTTGCTGAGGTAATGAGTGCGATTTGTAAACAAGGAGGGGTGGAGCATGACCCTCCACTCCATGT